TATGTTATATATATATATATATATTATATATATAGATGTTGTTGGAGTTGTTGGGAAGCTGATAATAAGTAATTTACATATGATTTATATATAGTTGCGATTATTAGATTGGTTGGCTCTTGGTGGTGGTTGTTTTGGGTTACTGTAACAGATACAAGTGATCATCTGAAGTTGGTCTGCTGCTGGGAGTTGCATTTCAGCTGCATTATTAAAGTCTATGTTGTTGGTGAAGTGTTGTTAGATTTCTGATGCTGCTGGTGATGTAATAATCTAAATTGGTTGACCTTGTGATCCTGATGTTGATAACTCTTCTTATTTGAGAAATTCTAGACAAGTAGTTGGATTTGTTATAGACAAATCTAAGTAGTTTTTCCAGGGTAAATTTCACCGGTCAAGTAAAAGTTGATGAAGTATATATATAGTATTTATATACAGCAAATAGAACAAATAAACTCACAAACCCTCTTCATATTTGATAAGGTTTGAACCCCTGACTTGCTAACACATGCCAGAGGCTCACATACCGCTAGGTCAAAGTCACTTTGGTAGCAATTCACAATCACCTCAACAGGAATTAAGAAAACAATAAAAAGTTCATCAAGATCCATTTTGAGCTTGAGAGATATTTCTCCACTAAAACTTGGATATCCAACTCGCTATGCGAGCCGACTAATCTCAGGACGACCACCTGCTTCGTGGGTAGTCTGGAGTCACTGCATTTGAACCTCCGTAGGGCATTTCTGTTCCTCCTTTGATTCAAACATGAGACCTCTAGACACTTTTGACCTTTGGAACACAAACTCAAACCAATCATGCATCACTAAAATTTCACGTAGTTGATGTTGGGTATTGTTGATTCAGACGCATCTGTTTATGTTGATGCATTATCGACGACTATATTTGATATCAGTTGCTATCTTACTGGATGGATTAATAATGCATATGTCGGTGCATATATACACCCTTCCACATATTGAAATAGACAATGCAACAAATATCCAATAAGGTTTTTTGCATCTTTAACATTCGAGTTTGTTGGGTTCAATGCTTATGTAAGTTATGCATTACAAAACAAAAAGGCCCTAGCCATCGATTTTTTTGTCTGTAATTTCCAGCGGATCACTAACGAATTACAAACGGATTGAAAATCCATCGGTAGTCGATCCTTGCTTTTAATCACAATCATCGACCACATTTTCACCAACGATGAGATTCGTCGGTAATCCGTCGATGGTGGTTTTGTCCGGCAGATTACCAACGGATTTCTCCGTCAATGAAGTCTGTTTGTTTTGCAGTGGTGGGAGTTTGTAAATGCAAAGAAAAATGAAACATTATTTCTTTTCTTGAGCGTCTTTTTAAAATAATTTACATCTAAAATAGCCATCATTCACCTCTCGTATTCCATTATATTTCATCAATTGTCAATTAACGAATTATGTTTCATTTTAACTTACTATCATATTTTTTTAATAAAAAATAAATTGCTACTGTGCAATGCATGGGTCCACATACTAGTAATAATAATAATAATATTTGTATATCTATACTATATTATAAAACATTTCACAAAAACTCTTAAAACCCATTTTTTATGCATGAAATATTGTTTATAGATACATATTACTTAAAATTCAAGGTTACAAGTAATTTTGCGCACGTACAACTTATTAAAGCTCCATTTTTAAATTCGTGTAATTAACTACAGATAAACATAATCAAATATAAGATAAACATCTATTTTAAATATAAAAAATCTAAAATATAATTAAGATAACTAATGAGTTTTAACAGAATGTTTAATTATTACTTTTATAAAAAATTATATTATTAAATCAAAAATAAATTTCTTTGTAATTAAATTATAATAAAAAATAAATTAAATAAGTAATACCAAAAAAACAAAAACTATTAGATAATTAATTTGATACTAATACTGATTTATTTTTTTCAAATTTTTATGTCATATTCAAATTTATATTTCATTCAAAAATAAAAGCATTACCACTTTTTCAAAACCACATAAGATCATATTATATCGATGAAGACAAATAATAAAAACTAAACATTAAAATGGAGATTTATCTCGCTGCATTATGCAAGTACCCTTCTAGTAAAGATAATAATAGAGAGCTCTGCAACGAATCAATTTTAACTGTTTATGTAACCTAATGAACATCTTATTACATAATATTTAGGTTGTTTCATTCCATAAATATTTCGATTGTTTCATAATTTCAAATAATGTGATATCTACCATAATTATCTTAGGGGTCGTATACTAAATGCTTATCCGGGTAAGCATTTACCAAGTCATGTTATCTTATCGGATAACTATGACAAGGACCAAAAATCTTATCCGGCAAGAGCAAAAACAAGGACCAAGAGTCTTACTCGGTAAGTTAAGGTGACGACTCTTACTCGATTAGCACTTACCGGATAGATTTTTACATACAATGTCGTTTTGATGGACTAAAATCGTGTTATGTAAAGTAAGTAATAGTGTTGAATTTTACCAGTAAACACTTACCAAAGAAGTGTTTAAGTAAAGGATCCGTTAGTTGTTTCTTAAAATAAGTACTAATCATTGTTTGCAAGATTCGTAAGAATTGATGGTTTGTATTTTAGCCTCTAAATGAAATGTGAATGGAATATTATAAATCAAAATTATTTTATTTTTATTGTACTTTTGAGATCAAAACTTATTTCTTCAAAAGGTTTTTGAAATGGAACCAATTTTCATAAGAGATAGGGTGTTTAAAAAATCAGTTGAATCGTTTAAATCAGTTAAATCAAGTCAAATCAGATCGTTTTTTATGGTTTGAACGGTCTGATCTATAGTTTGAATGTTTTCTTTAAGCAGTTTGGATCAAACTGACCGTATAAACTACAAGGGTGATGTCTGATTGGTTTGTGCTTGGTTACAAATGTCAAAAGTATCAAGAGGTCTCAGGTTCAAATCCAAGAAAAAATAAAAATCCTCTTGTGACCACGGAGGTTCAAATACGATGACTCCGGACTATCTACAAAACAGGGTGGTCGTCCTAGGATTAGTTGATTCGTATAACGAGTTAGATTTAAACTATCTATATCATCGGACCGTCTTTTTATGATCTAATTTAACTGGTTTGATCATTTGTTACTAACCGTTTTGTTTGGAAATTTTTTAAACCGTCGTTATCCTTTAGTTTGTGGTTTGGGTTAAACCGCCTCGAAAACCTAAACCTTGAAAAGAGGTTTAAAACCGACTATTTTCACAAAGGATTTAAAAGAAAACATTTTAATAATTAACGCAAATTTCCCAGCAACCACCACCACCTTTCCCGACGGCCACCACCACCATTGAAACCGCCATCACCACCGTGACCTTCCATTTTCCGGTCCCCACCTCTAAAACTTTGTTTTTTATTGTTGATTTGGAAGAAATCAAGCATTTGATTGCTTCGGTTCATGTTGTCATCGTAGCAGCAGTCTGGGTGTTGTGGTTGCCGAGCTTGGTTTTCACGGCGGCGAAGGTGTTCCGACTGCCGACTTCTCCGTTAACCCTTCACTAATATCTCGAATCAACGAAGACACGTTAAGATAAGAAGACCCACCTTCTTCCATTGCTTTCTTCGCCATTTCTGCAACCTCGCTGGCCCTTCTCCTTTTCTGGTTTCCTTCTTCACCTTCATCCATTAAGCATTCAACTGCTATCTTGACGTCATCCTTCTTCACCATCACTCCAATTTTTTCTTCGAGAGAAACAGGAACCTCTACACCAATCCTAACTCCAATCTTCAGAATTTCTACAATGAACGTTTCATTAAGAAACTGATCTGCAAAATGTGGCCATGTAACCATCGGCACCCCAGTACAGATGGATTCTAGAATCGAATTCCATCCACAATGTGTTAAGTAAACTCCAACGGACCGGTGTGACAGTATCAAGACTTGTGGTGCCCAGCCATGGACGATCAACCCTCGGTCTCTAACCCGTTCTTCGAACCCTATAAACCATTTCTTTAGTTCTTGGGTTTTAGTTCTTATGCACCATATGAACGGTCGGTTGGTGGACTCGAGTCCTAGTCCGAGCTCAATGGCTTGTTCTGTAGACATACGCGTAAGACTTCCCAGCCCAACATAGACCACGGACCCTGGTTCCTTTGCATCGAGCCATTTCAAGCAGTCATGCTCGTTGATCGCAGCCTTGTTTCCTCTCTCGGCTATATCCATATCACCTTTGTTATATAAAGAAACTGGGCCAACACACCATATTTTCTTGTTTTTGGCCTTTGCCAATTCTTTAACATATTTAGGTTCCAACTCGTCGAAACTATGAACCACGATCCCGTATGCATCTTCCTCCGCTTCTTGAAAACGCTCGCGGATCGCTATCTCTTCAGGTGATCTAGTTTCGGAGGTACCGGAAACCTTAAGTTTAGTGAGTTCAACTCGGTCAGGCAAACCAGGCAGAACGAACTTCTCCGAGTCCGATTCGATCCGATCCAAGATGTTGGTTTTGGCCACAATGTGTTTGCATAAGAGCCAGAAGCATCCGGGTCCATGGAACACGAGCCGCTGGATGTTAAACCGTCGAGCCATATCTGTAGTCCAATGGAAAGGAGGGTCTGAGATTATGCAAGCTGGAGGAGGAGATAGTCGCCTGAGCAGATCCTCCACCGGTTGTTCTAACAAGTCCATGGCGGCAAAGATCTTGACCATGACCTCCGACGACGGAATCTGTTCAAAGTTTTCTGAGCCTTCCGGCAAACCAACTTCGGCTAATGGGAGCTGGAGCTCAAGTAGTTGGATCTTGAGTTTGGCTTGGATTGCTCGGGAAATAACTGATCGAAATCGGGCGGCAGTAAGCGGAGTGGTGACTATGGTGACGGCGGCGCCACGGTGGGCTAGTATTCGGGCAATATCAACAATGGGTATCATATGGCCTTGATTCATGAGAGGAAGTATAACGAAGTGAAGCTGATGAGCCATTTTGAGTGAGTTGGGATTAGCTTCAGAACTGAAGTAGTGAAAAAATGGGTACAATATGTGAGTGGTTACATCATAATTAAGCTTTGCAAGAGACGTACAAAGATGGCATACCCAAGTTGTCCAAAAGAAAAATGCTTACGTCATTATCCTAACTGTCTTGACGGCTACATGAATTATAGGATCCCAAGCTATGGTAGCCGACATTGATTTCAACATCTTACCCTTTATTGTTATAATTAATCATTTTCAGAAATTATCTAAATTTGGAGAATTTTACACTCTCTTTGCTCGTTTTGAAGACACGTTCTGAAAATTTTAGTTAAAATCATTTTTATGTTTCTCCAAATATCGTCCACAATTTCACATTTCTCCGATGATCCAGACTTCGAGGCTGAGAACTGGAGTTTTAGGATTCGGAGCGGAAATCCCAACACACAATCGAGAACTGAACCGTAGCGTTGGGCGTTATGGGGGAGTGATGCCGATCGTCACAGTTATCGACTGTTGTGCTATGACTTTGGCCATGTCCACATCGGAACGAGGTGGCCTGAGTCACATCAGAGGTATGATAAGTGAAGATTGGAAGCCATGTCTGTAGCTAATGTTGATAGCTATGGAGAATTGTATGCATTTGGGTTTGTCAAGTTGCGATAGGCTTTATATGCACTTACAATATTGTCTTTTCAACAGTTGTGGTATATTTTCTTTTAACATAAAATATTAAAAGTTAATTTCTAAAAAAAATATATATATATATATATATATATATATAATATTTAATTTCAATAATTACTTTATTTTAATAATTTTAACATTAACTATATTATTAAAATATTATCTATAATACCTTATAAACCAGATTTATCAAAAGTCTTAAAAACAATTTTTAATGTACAAAGTACTATACATTTATGTACAAAGTCTTAAAAGTTTTAAAAATAACTCATAATGCATTAAGTATTACTACTTTATGCATTTAGTCTTATCTATACTAACTTATAAACCAGGTTTATCAAAAGTCTTAAAAACAATTTTTAATGCACAAAGTATTATATATTTGTGCATAAAGTCTTTAAAGCCTTCAAAACAACTCATAATGCATTAAGTACTAAAACTTTATGCATTTAGTCTTAAAATCTCTTAATCTACAATTAAAATAATATATAGGACAAGTTACCAATGCATATTATGATCTTTTATTTTCATGTTCCCAAGATATTTTTTGACACCTTTCACTCATGTTTTCACTCTCTCATACTGGTCTTCTCCTCATCCCTCAAATTGAGATTCAAACTGATATTTACCATAAGTTATTAAATGTTTTCTCATTCAATTGCTTTAGAACTCTTGGTCTCGCTCTTGATCTCTTGATTCTTTGCTTTTGGTGTAAACTGAACACATTTGTGGAGTCGTTTAAATATGTTGGATTTTAAATTGTCATACAATTTTTTTCATCGATAGACTGTAATTGGAACCATAACTCTTATTTATTCAAATTGTATTAATATGTAAAGACCAAGTGTAACTTATATCATTGTTAAATCTTCTCTAATAAAACAATGAAACTTCAAAATCGTTAAAATTCACAGCTCCTGCCGCATTGCACGGGTACACTAACTAGTTTCTCTTTTATAGACATTTATTTTCAATACCTATTATTGATGAAGAGGTATTAAAATCATGTCAAATACCTATTATTGGTGGGAAATATTTCTCTAAGTTTAGAGATTTTTGCAATCTATCTCCTCTTTTCTCTATTTTAACATACAAAATAACATAGTAACTGAAGCAAATTTTTTACTAAAATCCATCTTCTCTATTTTAGTGTAGCTGTTGGAGATGCTTCTAACAACGCAGAGGGTATCGTTAGATGGAGTCAAATCAAAATCATGTCGTTTAAATCTTAAAGAAAAAAAATCATATTGATCTTCAACAGTTGTGTTTAGTGATGTAAGCGTAGTTAAGTAAAGAAGAGTCGGGCATTGTCACATGACCATTTTGTTTGCTTTTGAAGGGAAAAGTTTTGAATGACTTTTCTAGAAGCCAATCTGTATCAATAATAATAACAAAAATACAATAACTAAGTTGGAGAATGACTTATTAAACAGTTATGAGCATCGACATCGTTATATATAGCTTTACTTTTTAAAATCCTTTTTTCAAAAAAACGGACCCATATGTTTAGGTGGCTAAGAAAAAGAGATTTTTTATGACGTTGTATGGTTATAAAAAAGATCATCAAAGCTGACTCAAACACTAAAAATATTAAAAATGATTGGTTGATATTTGACACTACAAAAAATCATCTTTACCCATGTATTAAAAATATATTTAATACTATAAAATAATAAACTAACATATTTATTTATTATTATATTATTTTATTAAAATATAATAATCAATGTAGATAATTATTTTTATATAATCAATAAATAATAATAGTTAATTTTTTTAAAATAATTTACCAAATGAAATATTTCTTAAAACTAAAACTATAGGCAATTAATTATGGTTAATATTATATTTTTTAAATTCTGTTTTTATTATATATTAAAAACATTAAAAATGGAGTAAAATTCAACTCCGACTCCATGCTTAATTTTTTTTAATACTGTAATAATGAAAATAATTGAAGTATTCAAATGTTTTATGGGAAAGTCCAAATTTGATTTTGAAATGATTAAGTTTGTAATTTTTTTTGGAATGAATGAATCTACTACTCTGGAGTCTGGAGTCTTGGTGTGCAATTTACACAGTTGATCTACAGTACCGTATCGATGACCTTCTGTCTTCATATCGACTCGTCTTTGATTTTGCCAATAAATGGATTTAAGTATGTACCAAAACACCAATAAATAAAGAAACCAATAACTACTAAGTGTTGATAGGATAGAGCAACAGATCAGTGAGTTATCACCAAATCGATAAATAACCCAACACAAATATTATTTACTTAAAAAAAAGTAACCATCAATAACATAGTCTGAACTTGTAATTTCTAAAAAGGACAAAATGGCAGAGAGACTCATAAATTTGGTTTTGGAGGTGTAGAATGCCCTAGGGTAAATCAGTTAATTAGTTCATATGTAAATCATTTAAATAATTCATACGTGAATTAGACGAGTTTGAGATGATATTGTGAGATTTGAGCATCCTCAAATATTGCACTCTAGTATTTTTTTTTTTAAATTAAAAAAATATCACCCCCTATTTTTTTATTCGAAAAAGTCAAAAATAAATAATTTTCGAGTGAAATAAATTACACCAAAAATTGTTCATATTTTTCTCGTTAATTTGACATCTATATTGATATATTTTTTTATCTATCTTTTTGTGATTTTCTGATTTTCCATTTATTTAACATTTTTCTTTGAATCTAACTCTATATATATATATATCAAATCAAATACAAACCACATAAATATTACACATTATACAACCAATCTTCATCAATTTTAGTGTTTTAAAGTACACCTTGAAAAATGTTAGTGATCTCACATTAAACTTTATTATGTGGTTTCATCATTAAACTCTGGAAGAGGCGTGCACGGATTGTATATCCAAGTTTCCAAAGAAAAGGTAAACATATCTATAAATGGTTTGTTGTAAAATGATTAAGTAGTCAAAATGATTAAGAGCCTTTTTATGATATAATGTAAAATGAAATATAATTGTTTGGTAATTGTTTACAAAGAAATTAGAGCGCTGAATGGTTAAGAGAAACCTATGATATAAAATCATTCAGAGACAATTTTTTTTGTCAAACAAGATTCACCTATTAAAAATTCAGAATTTGTTTATTAATAAAACTATTAGGAGGTAAATAAATAACCCCTCATATTAATTAGTCTAAAAAATGAGAACAAAAAGAACGTTTTAGCCGAGTAAATATCCTTCTTAGCTATTACGTTTTTAAATTTTCTAAAACATTCGTGAGTAACAACTCTTCAACTTAAAGATGTATTTCGATGGAGCACCTCAATGGGTGCCACGTGCCTTGTACCAAGCACCTCCGCAATTAAGCATGCATCCCCATGGGCGATTGAGTTGGATAAGAAGACAAATTAAAGCCATGCATGTTTCCCACTTGCGGAACTCTTATTTGATTTCAACAATTGAAGGATAAGTGTCATCTTCGCAAGTTAAGGAGGTGTTGCTTACGAACGAAATTTCAAAAGGTTAATTTTCTTTTATTAAAATTAACCATCTTTATAATCGATCGAAACGATTATTTTTGTTAATTTCTCTTTCGAAGCGTTATCATCGTAACTGTATTAACGGCTATAGACTACTCTATATCTTGTTATAAAGCTGATTTTATGGGATTAGTTCAACTAACAATAAGACTTGAGTCTTTGAGGATCATTTTTAAGGATCAATTTTGAATCATACAAAGCCACTGTGATTTTCTAGTTGTTTTACAAGCCCTAAAATTAGTTGAGATGAATATAAAATAACCCGAACACCATGGTTAATGATAATTTTTTCAATATAAACTATTTTATGGTTATGGTTTTTTAAAGACGTTTCTTTTTATCCCATAAACTATTTCTAAGACGTCTCTTTTGATGGTTAAAATAACTGAAAATTGAATAAACAATTATTTTAAGTGAACATTTTTACCTTTTAACCAATTTTTTCATCGTAGAATCAGAAAACTCTGAGTACCCAATTTCATAACTTGCTAACCTACTTTTTATGTATAAAATATTATTTTGTTGGGCTATTTTGTAAGCCACTAAGACGGTTTCAGAAGTCAAAAAAGAACATTTCGCAAGCCTTGACGGCCATTCTGCAAGCTGCTGTGACAATTTCACGATCCAGTCTTACAAGAATTATATTTAATTCGGAAAAAATACGTTTCGTAATTTGCAAGTAACCGAAAAAAAATATAAGCTAAAAAGATCTATAATGTTGTCCAAAATAGTTAATTTTCCTACACATACGCTCTCTCTCTTGTTTGCTCGTATTTTTTTTTTTGTCAACGGTATTTATTCATGTTAAAAGCTTGTTAGACAATATTTAAGTTGTCGAAGAGAAAAGAACGAACAAGGTTGGTTAGGAGTCGAAACATGTGTTTAACACAGAAGTAAGAAGAAGAGGAGGCAGAAGATATACAACCACTTTCGTAATTGATAGGCCATAATCAATACGGTGTTAATGGTGAAATTAAAAATATTTCAGTTACGAAAAAGAAAAATTTGGCAAAAATGTGTCTGAACTTTTTTTGGTCGACCAATGGTGCATTCGCACAGAAGTTCAGTTAACCGAAGCCATTTCCGATTCACATTTGCACCCCCTACGCGTGCAAGAGAGAGCCTTGGTGCTACAAGTTTTCCAGCCTTATGAATTGTTTTTACTTATAAACCTTCTTACTTTTTTACTCTTCCTTCTATGTGGGATGGCTCAAATAGCCACTTATCCACTTTACATTCTCTTTCTAATACTTTACTTTGTTGATTAATTTCTCATTCATACGAAGTCCGTTTTTGACGTTCAATGTCTCGAAACGAAGATATTATGGAGGAGAATATCAAACTATAATAACCTACATAAATTGAGATTATTTTAGTTCCAAGAATTATGCTCCAAAACGCGAAAAACCCATTTTTCCCCCAAAAAAAAGCAGGGTAGTACTAATACTTTGTACCATTCCTTAGAATTTTTAGTACATTTATGGTTCCTCCAAATCCCCCATCCATGCAAGTAGAACATGCATGTCTTCAAGGAGGGATCCAAATCTTTTGCTTGTTGGCAAAATGCTTGGGCGATTCGGGCTCATCTGCGGTTAGGTCCCTCCAAGACCATTGGGATGTTGAAATACGTGCAATTTAACTTCGGATGTCCATAGTCATAAAAAGCTGCTTGTAGAATATGCTCGGCATTTTAAGTCCCTTCGTGATGAGCTAATCGTAATCGGAAGTATCTAAGGCAATTTGCATATAATTATTTATTTAATATAAGTTTATTTGATGTATATTTTGGGGCCGTTTACCGAGTAAGATTCTGAGTCCGATTCTATTTCATCCATCATGTTAGAAACGAAGGAAACGTGCATGCACAAGATCCAGAAGCATCCTGGTCCATGGAACACAAGCCATGGGACGTTGATCCTTCGAGCCGCATCTGTAGTCCAAGGGAAGAAAAAGTCGGAGATTATGCACGCCGGAGAAGATCTTCCGCCGATTTTTCTGACAAATCCATAGCAGCAAGGAGCTTGGCCCAGGATTCGAATGACGGAAGTGTGTCACAGATCTCGCACCCTTCTGGTAGACCAACTTTTTCCGATCTGAGTGTTTCAAGTAGTTGGATCTTGAGCTTGGATTCGATTGCTCGCCCAATAACTGGTCTAAACCCGTTGGCAATAAGAGGGGTCGTGATTATGGTGACTGTAACGCCACGATGAGCTAGTATTCCGGCAATGTCCACCGTCGGTACCATATGACCTTGAGCCCTTGGAGGAAATCAGACAAAATGAAGGTCAGAATTAACCATTTCCATGGAGTTAAAATGATAGTCTAATAGCCAAAGAAATAATTTCAATAAATGAATAACATCGCATTAAACCTATCGAACCTATGAAATTGAGATCCGAGTCTACTCTCCGTTACAAGACTTAGCCGTTCCCTTGATTACCTGGCGTGAGGAACAGAAGAAAACACTGCGAGCCAAATGCCCGGTGAATGGATAAACAATTATAGTAAAATGGTAATATAAACACACCAAAATTGATCTCAAGATATCGGACAAAACAAATACTAACATCTTAGTAAAATCAACAAATAACATAATTATACGAAATCATAATAAAGGGACAAATCGAGCTCGAAAATGCATAACCAACATGACAAGTGTCAGATATATGGTCACGAAGGCCTGTACGCGGATTGCAGATCCACACGTACTAAATGTGAGATGTGGCGTTGGACACTACGCTGACATCCACCCTACAAACGAATCACATATGCTAGGGCTGACCCATACGCTTCTTAAATCTAATATCCATCACACCAAATAGCTCTCACAAGAGCACAAAAGAGGAGACGTCGTGGACTGATCACACTGCCACGATTATTGTCACACTAGCGGTGCCACAATGACGTGCCTATGGTACCCCCATAGGTGGTTAGTAGCTCGACTTACCTGGAGTTAATTTGTCACAATGAATATGACGTCATATAGTCTTAATTAAGAGTAAGAGCAAAATGTATCGACATCAAATGAATGATCGACATAAGAATGAAAAAAAATATGTTGAATGAACAAGTAGTTGCAACAATTAAGAGGCTCAAATCGAACGGAATGTAACCCATCACATCTACCAACATATATACACTTAGAGGTAAAAAAATTATACTTAAATGTTACCGAACAATTAAACATGATCTTTTGGAGAATACACATATTTGTACTAACTCGAATAACTCAAATAGCATAATTAGGACAAGTCGTACTTGCCCCATATATACACACACATAACGTAGAACAAATACGAGTGAATGGAAGATGCATGCACAATTTAGAAACCTATACATTTATGGCCAATTGTTCGGTAATATCTTGAATCATAGATGTCGTGTTGCGAATAGAAGATCCTCCATCCTTCATTGCTGTTTTCGCCATTTCCGCAAGCTCCTGAGCCCTTTTCTTTCTTTCTTCTCCTTCATCTCCTCCATTCATTAAGCACTCAACGGCAACCTTCACCTCTTCCTTCTTCACCAATGTTTCAGCTGTATCTTCCCCTCCCATAACAACAGGGATCTCCACACCAATTCTAACTCCAACCTTCAAAACTTGTATGATGAATTTTTCATTAAAGAATTGATCAGCGAAATGTGGCCATGTAACCATTGGTACACCGGCACAGACTGCTTCTAGTGTCGAGTTCCATCCACAATGAGTTAGGAAACCACCGATGGCTCGGTGTGACAGTATCAAGACTTGTGGCACCCAACCGTAGATTATCAACCCCCGGTCTCCAACCCTTTCTTCAAATCCTGATTCGGAAAACCATCTCTCGAGCTCTTCTGTTTTGTTTCTTATGCACCATATGAATGGAAGATCGGTCATTTCCAACCCCAACCCCAGCTCAATTATTTGTTCTAAAGAAGTATGTGTAAGAGTTCCCAAGCAAACGTATACCACGGACCCTGGTTCCCTCCCTTCGAGCCATTTCAAGCAATCGTGCTCGTTGATCGCTGCCTTGTTTCCTCTCTCTGCGATATCCAGATCGCTTTTGTTGAACAACGAGACCGGGCCTATGCACCATATCTTTTTATCTTTTGCTTTAGCCAATTCATGAGCATACTCAGGTTCCAACTCTTCAAAGCTGTTAACCAAAATCCCATGTGCAGCTTTCTCTCCTTCTTGAACTCGTTCTATATACCCCTTCTTCTCTTTTGTTTTGGCTTCCGAGTTATCAGAAACCTGAGGTTTGGTTGCGTTCGGCTTCGACTGACCGAAAGCCTGAAGTTTCGTAACTTCAATTGGGTCAGGCAAGCCTGGCAACACAAAGAGTTCTGAATCTGATTCAATCCCATCTAACACGCTAGTTGATGTTACTATGTGCATGCACAAAATCGAGAAGCAACCTGGTCCATGGAAGATAAGTCTCGGAATACTTAGCCTCCGAGCCACATCGGAAGTCCACGGGATGAAATTGTCGGAGATGATGCAATCGGGAACCGGAGATAGTCGTCGGAGCACTTGTTCGGCGGGTTCTTCTAACATGTCAAAGGCTCCAAGGAGCTTGAACCAGGGGTCGGTTGATGAAAGCATGTCAAGACTCTCGCATCCTTCTGGTAAACCAACTTCGGCTAATCGGAGTTGGAGTTCAACTACTTGGAGTTTGAGCTTGGCTTCGACTGCTCTTTCGATGACCGAGTTAAATCGTTTGGCATTAACTGGAGTGGTGAGTATGGTTACGGTGGCGCCACGGTGGGCTAGTATTCGGGCAATGTCCATCATGGGCACCATATGGCCTTGAGCCGGTAGAGGAAAGACGGCGAAGTGAAGGCTTTTGAGTGGTGAAGACATTTTCCGGCGACTATGGAGGGTCTGAGATGGTCGTATCTTGACTTGCTATAATTAGAGTAGTCTATATCTATGTGGAATATAGGTAGTAGTGTACAATTTTGGGATGGTTGATAACGAGGTTGAATTTTGAAAGTGACCATAGGTCCTACACAACAATAATTCTTGGGTATAATTCATTGGAAATTTTCTAAAATTGGAATTATTTTTATTTTTAAAATAAGTTTTTTATTTAATTTTATATCAAAGGAAAAAAAAAGACTCGATCTTCTTTTAACCAGACTGGTTGAACCAAAAATCTCAGACCAATTTTGGACCGGCATGTTTCATATTCGTCTCTATGGTTACGGTTTTCGTTCTCGTATGTTTAGAAACTGTGGTTTCCGTTTTTATGGTTTGTAATTTATAAACCATAAAGACGAAAATCGTAATTTCTAAACCACATGGATGAAAATCGTATTTTTAACAAACCATAGGGACGAAAAAACGTAATTTAATTTAATCGTAATTTTAATATATTGAATTTAATCTTTAACCATTTTTTTATGGTTTAAATTGGATGGGAGCTTTTTTTCTTTGAGATCTTTATGATTTGTGAGATCCAATAAACCACAAAATCATAATAAATTAGAACATTATTAATTTTGATAATTTTAAATTAAAAAATCAAATAAAAGATGACGAGTATTTATAAATATCCTCTTTCCTCTGTCTCCAACAAGTTCAAACACCTCCACCCCAATTGTTGTAAACACAGTCTACAGTCTACACAAAACATATTTGTCCCCAACACATTTGACTACTACCCCAATTTTTGTGAACACATTGTGCATAGTGTGCACACTTTTCAAATGGTGGTTATATGGTGGGATGACAATATACACAGTATGCACACCATGCTCAACCGTTTCACGAGATCTAGTTCAAACGGTAAGTAGATTTTTAGATCTAGAGCAGGGGGGCGAGAGGGCTGGAGGATTCCATATATGAGATCAACATCAGGCTTCACTGCTCTTTCATGGCGGTTTCAAGATTCGAATTCAGTATAGAAGGAAGGTTGCAGTGGTTTCAAGAATCTGGATTCATCGTGTTCACAAGCCCGATAAGAAAGTGGAAGAAGTGGGTCCATGTAATGCCGCCAAGACCATCTTCACCGTTCCTCTTCCATCCTCGGGTTATGTGGTGCACTGTACGTAGTCAATAATGGTTGTTGGTTGTAAGTTAAAGTTTGGATTGGGCCTATAACAAAAGGTTGAATCTTTAATAATTAATAGAAATAGGTCCTACATTAACGACATTTCTCTATCAAATGCATATTCTTTCCAAAAACTCTTACAATGGCATTGATTTTGTTGTGAGGTCATGGCAATGTACAACCTTCTAATGCATCAAGGTACAAACGTTTGGATGTCAAATATTCTCAAAGCATACATTTCCAAAATATAACAATATACTTAAAACGTGACTAAAATCTATCGAGATCGAATCGAACCTGTATCGAAAGAAGGTATGTTTTGGAGAGACACAATAGTAATCCGTGACCACAAGGGGATATTATTCCTCATTTTGAATAGTTTAGTTTCTAAAACTCTTTTTTGCATTAAACTTTCTTATTTTAAATGGTTAGTTCTTAAAACTTTCTTTTGAATGAAAACATTACACCTAATTTTCAATGATTAAGACGCTAAATTTTTTTTTTTTGAATAAATAAACCATCAAACCCTTCATCTAGGAATGTTTTACTGTAAAAATAATTAAATTGGTTATACAGTTCTCAACCCGACGTCACCTTAGTGTCGTTTGCTCTATATCATCAGCCGTCACCATTGCTGGCCCCTGCCATTGATCTCACTCTTATCGATTGATTTTGTTTTTTGATTCTCCATATATTTTTTATGCCTATATGTATCCCATTAAAATGTTTTAAAAGAGGGAGGAATCAAAATATCAAAAAGATGGAGATCGATGGCAGGGATTAACAGCATCAATGGATTGTGGAGAGAACAAATGATGGGTCAACAAAGAGTGAGAGAGGGTGATGTTTTTGTATGTGAATGGTTTGACTCGCATAGGGTTTGAGAACGGTAAACTGATTTGTGCTTTTTTTATCGTAAAACATTGGTAGTCAGTTACACGTAACTTTTTTTATGTATTAAAATAATGTAGCTCCTACGGAATTTTTTTATACAAAAAGTAAAAAAGATAAAGGAAAATTAATTAAAATAGACATTTTTACCGGTTGGTTTTATCTTTTAGCCAATTCTTTATAAGGTTCATCAAAATAGTACTAGGTTCGTAATTTTAATTTTTTTTACGGACTAGGGTGAAAAATGTAAGAGAAATTTGCGGACATGGGTGTATTTTTTTTGCGGATACAGAGAGAAAGTGTAAATTTTTTTGTCTGTGGGTTTTGCGGACCTATGACTATTTTGGTAAACTTAAAAAAAAATGATTAGGAGGTGAAACCGACCTTAAAAAATCAACTGTTTTAATGAATTTTCTAAAATTAAAATCTCTAAAAGTAATAATTCAATTCTAAACATTCACCATTTTGTAAAATTTAACATATAATATTCAATAAATATAACATTATAATGATTTTTTAAATAATTTATATGTGAATTCGATTGATGAAAACGATAAAAAAAAAAAAAAAAAAAAAAATTTTTCATATTCACCATTTAATTTTAGAACTTTCTTTAAATTTGAAAAAATTTATACTTTTCTTCAATTTTATTTATTTTATTTTTTATTTTTAGAAAATTTGTTGAAAAAAAAATTAATACAACGTGTTTGTTCTACAATGAGAATATTTTTATGTAGTTTGTAAGAAATACGATTAAAAAATTTCATATTATGAACTGAATACATATGAGATAAACACATTGTGAAACAAACATATGTTAATCAATATATTAAATTTTAGTCTCAGATGGAAAAAATCATGTAAAATGATACCTTATTATTATAGTTCTCACGGTATATGAGTTTCTCAAATAATTAAAACCATATATATAGAGAGAGGGAGGGAGGTTCATGGAAAGACTTCTCACCGGTATACATATGTTTGTGTGTGTGTATATATATATATATACTAGGTTTGGACCCGTGTATTACACGGGTTAATGACAAAAATTAAACGAAACTGATATGTATTTTATAAAGAATTAATAATCGGAGGTAATTTATAAACTTAGACAAAAGTACAAGTCCGATTAAATTTTTGATATAAAAATGCTCTTACTCTAGAATTAAATGTTACATATACAAAGGACGGCATGTGCTTCGATGATCAGAAAAACTTCTAAATGAAGACGAACAATGTAGATCCAATATGTAGCGCTGCGTAGTACATGCAGAGCCTTTGTATACCTATGTATGAGACAAGCAAAGGGAATCAAAGGCTCTGGGTAGTACATGCAGAGATAGAACTCTTACTCAAGACAAGTACAGAGCCTTTATGAAGCTCTGTATGAAGGACGGAGGCAGGGTCAGAATGACCCCGTAGCACCTGTAGAACCTCTGTTAAGTTCTGTATGAAGAACGGAATCAGACTTCAAGGCCACAAGCGTAAAGAAAGTTTCCAGAGATTAAGACGGAAACTATTCAGAGTTACAAGTCTGAAGGCCATTTTCGGAGTAAGAGATAGAGCCTCGACGCATTACGTGAAGAGACAGAGCTCTTTCTCAAGACTTAAATGCAGAACCTCTGTGCAGTTCTGCATAAAACACGGAGTCTGGTTCAAATTGACCGCATAGCACGTGCAGAACATCTGTTAAGCTCTGTATGAAGGACGGAATCAGGCTTGACAAACACAAGGGCTAAGAAATCCTCCAGAGTTCACGACGGACAATATCTAGCGTTGCAAGACTTCTAAATCAAGACGACCAATCTGGCTACAAATGTGAAGTTCTTTTCAAGAGTTAATTACTAAAATTAGTCAATGCTACAAGTTTGTATAAATTTTCCTTTGTCTTAGAAATAAACCAACTTTTGATAATGATTGTCCTTGGCTCTTATTAAATAAGAAAAACTCTGGACATTAACTCAGAAAAAACTCTGAACATTAACTTTGAAACACAAGAATTCAGAATTCTATTATTAGACTGGAAAATAACTCTAGACTTAACTCTGAATAAGAGGAATTCAGAGTTGTCTTCTAAGTCTAGAAAGTATCTACGAGCATAACTCTGAGTCACAAGAATTTTGATTTCTTATAACTCAGAAACGTAACTCTGAAGAGGAGTTTAGAGTTGTATTCTAAGTCTGGGAATAAACTATATAACTAAGTTTGGAACAKAACAATTCAGAGTTATGTTGTAAGTCTGAGAAATAACCAATATTTGATGACTTCATGTTGATGATTTGTATCACTAATGTCATTTAAGTGTAATGTGATTAAATTGTTGACCAATGTAATCATGATAAATATTGAACATGTAAGGCAGGTGCGGAGTGCATACTTGTTTGAGTTTATTTTAATTTAGGGACGAAGCCCCCAACAGAAGGGGTCCGGGGGCAGCGCCCCTGGGTGGCGGGGTCCAAGGGGCAGATGTTATAAATTAATTAACTTTATGTTATTATTAATTAAAAAGGTATTAATATTCTTTTAATAACTATATAAATTAATTAAATTCACATTACTATCAATTAATTAAATACCAAGAGTACATGTTCTTCTAAATTTTTTTCGGTTTTGATGACCACTCCAGAGTTAAATTCAGACGTGAATTTTTCCAGAGTTATATTGTAAGTCTGGGGGCCGTAAGTGAAAATTGTGTCTAGTTTCGGCGAAAAAATCAACAACCGTCGCACAGAAACGCGACACGTGTCCCCAAAGTTATTTATTATAGATTATAGATGTGTGTGTATATACATTAATTAACTTTATATTATTATTAATTAATAAGGTATTATTATTCTTTTAATAATTATATAAATTAATTAAATTCACATCATTGTTAATTAATTAATTAAGTACACATCTCCCCAAAGTTACTTATTTATTAGGTATATAGATGTTATAAATTAATTAACTTTATGTTATTATTAATTAATAAGATATAAATATTCTTTTAATAACTATATAAATTAATTAAATTCACATTACTATTAATTAATTAAGTACCAAGAGTACATGTTCTTCTAAATTTTTTCCTCAGGTAATATTGTTTTGTGAAAAATGTTTCAAAAATGCAAATTTGAAATTTTAAACCCGGTTTTGATGACCACTCCAGAGTTAAATTCAGACGTGAATTTTTCCAGAGTTATGTTGTAAGTCTGGGGGCCGTAATGAAAATTGTGTGGTTTCGACGGGAAAAATCACAACCGTCGCACAGAAACGTGACACGTGTCCTCAAAGTTACTTATTTATTATAGATTATAGATGTAAACCAAGCCATTTGTATATATCGTGAAAACCGTCGATTTTATTGTTTATTTTAGTGAAAAATTTTCATGAGATTGTTTAATATGATGAAATTATTTCAAATAATTCATTTCAAATAATTATTGACATTATCATCTTCATTCTATTAAATTTAGTAAAATAAATTTTATCGACCTGAGAAATACATGAAACAATTTAACTTTTACATAGAAACAAAAATATATGAAACACTTCATCATGAAATGAATTATTTGAAACAATTTCATCATATTAAACAAATTCATGAAAAAATTTCACTAAAATAAACAATGAAATCAGGTTTTTACGGTTTGTACAAATAATTTGGGTTTATATTTTATCTCTCCCCTATATGTGTGTGTGTGTGCACGCACATGTATATGATATGTATATATATACACAGAGAGGGGGGGGGGGTGAGTTCCGATGAAGAGAAATTAAGGTGAGAAACGTAAGAAGAAATCTCTACCATTGGATCAATCTTAATTGAATGTCGACACTAACGAGGTGCACCGAGACGCACCTGATCAATTTCCTTCTAAAATGCAATTCATAAATGTACATGAGATTAAAAGTGATTGAGGAGTTTAGATTTCTTCTTACGCTTCGAATCATAATTTTCCCACACACTGTTCTTCCCATATATACACCCACACACATTTATGTATATAGAATATATATTTATTTATGGTGGAGGAGGTGTTGTGAAAATTTAAGAGTGTGAGCAATACGAGCTGATGTGAATGGCTCAATATGTGACAAAAATGATATGTGAAGAAGGGGATCAGAAAAAAAGACACATGCATTTAAACAAGTTTAAAACATTCATTTCGTTTGTAGGCGAGGGGACCAGCAAAAGTGATTTTAACGTAAGATATGTAAAAACAATTATTGATGGAATTTAGATCCTTTTTTTTTTTTATTAACATGCATATCCAATCCGCTATACAAGCTGACTAATCCCAGGGCGACCATCTGCTTTGCAGATGGCCCGGAGTCACCGCATTTGAACCTCCGTGGCTACAAGAGGATTTTTATTCCTCCTTGTATTTGAACATGTGATCTCCTGGTACTTTTGACTTTTGGAGCCAAGTTCAAACCAATCAGGCACCACCCTTCCGGTTAGAATTTAGATTTTCTCAAGTAACAAATATTCATAAATAAGTATATAAAAAAAAGCCCCATTGACATGCTTACAAATACAATTAAAATCCCTCTCAAAAAAAGGGAAAAAAGACATACAATTAAAAGAAATGTCAATAACTAAAATACAATTGAAATATAAATATACATGTGTGAGGTGTTGATATGTAAATTGTGTTATGGATGTATCTTCTGATTCTGGGGATAGGATACATCTCAGTTTCTAGCAATGCCAAACAACATAAGGGTAAAAGCTGGCACTTGTGGATGTATACATTGTCAACTTGATATTGGCACTTTAGAGTATCTAAATGTATACATACATCCATAATAAATTGCGGATGTATTATCGATGTATAAAATTGGAACTTAATTTCACGAGTTTTATTGATTAACAAATACAATATTTATCGTAGTAGACAGAGTATTCTTAAAATAAGTTACCGTAAGTAAAATCATTAACGTCTAAAAACGTAATTTAAAACACAATTTCTATAGAAAAATGCTATAACACAAATTCCACAAAGCTCTGTTTGGAGGTGAAAAGAAAAGTAAAAAAAAAGTGGTATGGAAATCTTGACGTAACATTTACAACACAAATTCTAGCAAAAAAAACTTTACAACTTATGCAATCTTTGTCAAGTTATATGCACACATCCAAAAACTTCCTTCTACACTTTTTACAATATTCAAACAGATTCATGACCTCCTTGTACTAGATTCTGAATCAATGCTGCTCCTGCCTGAGTCTATACGATCAAGCCGATCAGCTCTCCACGAAATCAAGTTTGCAGACTTGAGTAACATGCCTAAGGCCGAAGAACACGTTGCTCTCACAATTGCATCTGTAGACCGACTTGCTTTCCCAACCAACAATCCAAACACCTGTTTTCGTGTTCATATCACTTGTTTTAGCAACTCGATCATCCAAGTTAAATAAAACAGATAATGCAATGCTGTTCATTAGTACCATCAGATCATGAACCATGGATAGACTATCAACATATTGTTCAATTTTTAAGAAACCAGTATACTCTCATTTTAATATAGATAGCGTTCCCTAATTTAATATATACAGAGAGAGAGAGAGAGAGAAATACCCACATACATATATTTGCACATATATACATATAGAGAAAGGTTCAGGGAAAAACCCCCAAAAAATAAAAAACTGAGGAACACCTGGTAATCATTCATCTTAAGATATGCACATATAACATGCACACGTGCATAAGAAACAACTTCAGTTACTTGTAACTGTCCACATGAACAGCTTTTCATTTTTTGAGGGGTTTTCCCCTTAGCCTGACCCTATACATATATAAACATGTGCTAATATACACTTACATGTGTGTATATATGTGTGTGTGAGTGTGTAGAAGTGTGTGTCGCACATGGTTTCTTTAATGAAAAGGAAAGGAAGAAATTAGTCACCTGATAATAATAAGACGCTGAAATGTGTTGATCGTCTGTCAAAGCAAGCATGCTGCTGGATAAATAAATGGCATTCGCCTGGATAGCAGGCCAAGGAGCATCAACAGCCTACACAAGAAGATAGATTAATTTCTTGTCATAAAGTGAAGATGACTCAGATCTACTAGATAGATGATAAATGTGTATTTTCTATATTAAACTACAACAAGAAACACCTGTATTATTGATGCCATATAAGTATCAACTCTGGAAGCCAGATGCTGAACGAATTGCCTCGCCAGATCTCTAAGAAAGTCTTGATAGTCGCTCCTGAAAAAAAAAAGTTTAAATGGGATGGATAGCGGCATGATTTTGACATAAAAGACATGAAACGTATGACAAGTTTATTATTACAATATATACCAAGAGATACCTGTGATCGGAAATAAAACGATGCGTGTTGAGAAGAAGAATCAAATCGTCAAGTTCCATAAGGGGAGCGACCCGTTTGATTGTAATCTGTTTGGTAACTATAACATGTATCAAGAAGCAAAAAGAAAAGGTTCAAATAGCCAACATATGAGGTGCTTAAGGATATTTACCCGGCAAGCTTGACGAACAGAATATTCTTCATCAAGAAGATGAAGAACCAAGCGTGGCAAGACAGCATGTACCTGAAATGGGTACGTCACATGCAAACTATTACGACATAAAATAGAACCAGAAACTAGGATTGAAGCCTACTGTAAGATAATCCATATCGACAATGGCTTCAAACAGTGCCAGTCATGGAAATTAGAGAATCCTAAAAACTTTATAAGCTAAAGTAGTTTCATGTAGCGCATTAGAAGTCATTGAGAAACCTGTTCGAGAAAAGCGTCATGTTGTGCCCCAGAACCGTAGTCACTTAGTGCTCCAAATGCTGCAAAAGCATTTGCTCTCATCTTTGTGTCCATGGACACCTGTTTACAGATCAAATAAAATATTTACGATCATCTTACGAAGAAAGCATACATGATCCTAATATTATGAATGAAATTAATTTGAATTGTTTTTGTCTATCTTGTACTTCCAGACAAGCTGCCCATGCTGCCTGCATCAGACTTCACCCAGTGTGACTAGCCATGGGGTAGGTGATAGCTACGATATCAAAAATATCATAATTTCTCCTACCCTCAGGCACAAGCAAACCATTTTACTTTGTAGGAAAGTGTCATACATGAACTGTGTACCTGAGGTTTAGAAACATATTTCTTTCTCATTTTTTTTGGAAGGCAATAAATATATTACTGAAAGAGAACCCAGAAATAAATAGGCAAAATTCTGCAAGGAGCAGAACACCAAAAAGACTAACAGCCTGCTACAAAGGAACAAAACGAAAGGGAGAACCCAGCCCGAAACCCCAACAGGACCACCATTAACTATGCCAATACGAGCCATTTAACCACTCCACAAAAGCAGGTTTCCTATGCTTAGCCCTGTTTGAGATCCACAGAAATGAGCTCGACTGGATTTCAAAAAACAGCTCTCTAATATCAATCCGAGCACCCCTTTCAAAAACCAGAGCATTTCGCTTCCTCCACAAGATGAATAGAGAAAGACCGAATGACTGCTTCCCTTGGTGAAGCTAAATCTGACACACCACCACTTCTTCCAAATGGAATGTACTCTGTTCCAGTTCCTATTTTGAGGAACCTACTTCTATAAACTCCAATTTGGCAAACATACTACGGTGGCGTTTGGTTCACATAATGGAATCTGTTAGAATTGGAATCTGTCAAAGGAATTGGAACTTGAAGAAATTGGAATGGTATTTAATTAAGTTTGACCATGCATTTGGTTGACAGGAATTGGAATGGAATCTATCAAAAGAATTTGAATATGTCTGTTCGGTTCATTGAATATAATAGTGGTGGTAGTGGTGTTAACGGTAGTGGTGGTGCCATGGTGGCGGTGGGAAGGAATATGGTGATGGTGGTGGCGGCGGTGACGGTGGTGATGGTGAAGGCGACGGTGGTGATGGGGGTGAAGGTGACATTGGTAAAGGTGGTGGTGGCGGCAACAGCGGTGACAACCCTCTTGATGGGATGGAATGGAGAAAATATAAGGGCATAATAGTTTTTCTTAAAAGATGGGATGAAGGAAACGGAATTCCTTGCTAGAACCCTAAGAATTTTACATTCCACAATATGTGGAATTCGAATTCTTATCAAAACCTAAAGAATAAACTAAATGCATGAATGGAATTTGGTCAATGGAATTGACCATTCCAATTCCTTCAAATTACGGCATTCCAACGAACCAAATGCCAACTATGTCTTTGATGTGATTAAGGGAACGTATCATATCTTTGATGCAATTAAGAAAACTTACTATATCTTTGTGAACATAAGAGGGAACATACAATAACTTTATAAGCAAAACACCCTTAAAAAATCTATTATATTTTCTTCTTTGAGATGCCTTGTCTTTGACACCAAAATGGAGCTTCCTAAAGTAAGTTCTCAGGAACCGAAGCAAAGTACGCTCCATCTTGATGCAATTTGCCACTATATTTAAGAAAAAATAAACATAAAATGCATTCCTAACTTTCTGTCAGATTCAACACAAACTGCTTAAGTTGTCAACTAGGCATTAAGCTTTTCTCCACCACTACGAGGAGTTAGGGCCACTTAATTGGCTGCCTAGGAGTTTCCTGCATTGTTCACTTGGCAACTAATAATTGAATTAAGATCTCAACTTGTGTTTATGAGCCGACTTTTCTCAATTTGGAGGGAACCTTTCTATTTTATTGATGGAATGATAAAACTAGTAACTTAGAAAAGTAATTATATCAAAATAATATGGTATCAAAATTTCAGATCTCAAATATAATCAAAGACAACAGCATCTTATATATATATACACACACACACACATACAAGGGTGGGTTCAAACGAGAACACCTTCATTTTACGAGAATGCGAGAACACCCTTTTACTATAGACAATCACATGTGATGCTATGATTCCATCATATATGATATACATGTGATGTTAAATCAGAGATGCAGACGACTTTTTGCAGGCCAAGTCACCCTTACACCACGAAGCCCCCTCACATGTATTATCACATGTGATAAGGGTGTTCTTGATGTGATAATATAATCCATTAAGACCATCACATGTGATACTAAATCATAGACGCAGAAGACCTTTGGCATGACCTAAGTCGCTGAACATATCGTCTCCACACCACCAGGTCCCCTCACGTGTATTATCACATGTGATAAGGGTGTTCTGGTTTGAACCTCCACCTATACATATGTGTGTGTGTGTGTATATATATATATATATTCAAATGAACCTTCTATGCGCCGCTTAAACCCCCCTTAAGAGATTAAATGCTAGAAGGTCACTTAACAACCTAGCTCCAATTTAACATTTCTTAAAGAGGTGATATGGGCATTTTTTTGACAGTTCATTTTTTGTACGCTCTCGCACTAACCAGCTTAGGGACTGAAATTACTTAAAACAAGTCACGATATTAAGACATAAGGATCGACATGGTACATTGTTGGCTAAGCTAAACACGGCCTTGCTCGCTCTACTAATGCGATAAAAAAATTCTCTAATGTTTGTATATATAGACATAAACATGCACACTGTGTCATCAACACTTGTGTGATGCAAATGTAACTGAAGAGATGCCAAAGCGGCATTCTGCATCACTAAGGAGCATCTAGAAGCATGAGCTATTGAGGGAGCACTTGATTGATACTGGGGAATGGGAATAGGAATGGCATGACTATATAAAACCAACAAACAGTAAAGATTTTTCATTCCATTCCCTGTATCATACCTTCAACCAAGAACCCCATGAGCCTTCCTAATCATGGGCAGTTCAAAGGAGTTCAGAGGTTAGCACTACATTTAAGATGTAGTACTCAAACCATGCCACATCATGGGAAGACAATCATTCTCTCATTAAGATTATTTAGAGAATTCACCTGAAGATTACGAAGCCGCACACACAAATTAAGTAGAACATGCTCCACACCTTCTGGTGATGACTGAAGAATCTGTCGCAATTGAAATATGAATTCAATCAAAAATTGAAACATATATTTCATTCGAGTATATAATACAAAGAATATTTGCAATATACCGAAAGCAAGCATAACACTGCAGTCAATTGAACTGAGTTATCTGAATCATCTAGCAGCGCCAATATTACACCAAGGATTTCTTTTGTGTACATATTAATATGGATAGGTGGTATCTGCAAGAACATATTGGAAAATAAGGTCTCAGAAAGATACATCCATGGCTATTATTGTAACCACAGTTAGAATCTCAAATTAGAAATTTTATAATCAAATAGGCTATGTGTTCCTGAGGCTGTGTTTGGTACATGGGACGGGACAAGACAGGACAGGACGGGACAAAACTCACTGTCCCACATTTGGCGCAACATGGGACAGGACAATAACTCACCATCCCACATTTAGTGCGACATGGGACAGGGACAAGAACTGTGACAAGGTGGGACAGTGTGGGACAAAAAAAGCTTTGGGACAAGAATGAGACAGAAACTAAAATATTACTAATTAACCCTCGTTTGATATATAACCTTAACATGCTAAAACAGAATCACTATGACAAGACTATTAAATACAATAAAACAAGATCACATTACCAACGGGCTGCAGTTTTAAATGTAAACTAAAAATTGAATAAGTTCAATCCTTTTTAATTATATCCCTATTGTGAATGCAATATCTTGTATAGAAAGTTTCCTTTTGATTGTCACCTCTATGTGCAAGAACAAAATCGCATAATGCATTTAATATTATTGGTACATTGAAACAAAATAATCCTTGCAGATATTGTGGTGAAGAAAAAGAACAAAATTTTAAAAATTATGTCAAGTTGGGTGGACATAAATTTTAACTTATAAGAAGATTTCAAAAATCTAACTTTCCGCAAGACATGTTTGTGGAATCATCTACTGTTCTACCCATTAGTGACAAATGTCAAGCATGTATAATTGTAACTTGTAAGACCTGCACGAGTCCTCGTAGACAAAGACGCCTGACCATAGGGGAATCATCTGACACGTGCCGACACAATGCTTCAACTATCTCCTCCAATACTGAAGAAGATCCTTCATTGCTGCATTAAGAATCATCGATCCAAAAACATAAAATAAAAGAAACAGCATAATCCATTAATTTAAAAATGCAGCTCTGACCAATAATCAGGAGAAGCACAGCATGCCACACTCATGTCAAGTACAGGCTGAATTACAAATGATATTATATTGGTGAAAGGTAATACTTCGCTGTAACACCGGCTAACAAAGTCTTTGTTGGTTTCAAAACTATAGAGGTGCCAATCTCATCATCTTAAGAACCTGACTGAGACCATATCTGCTGGCATGTGATGATTGGACAGAATTGAGTCCTTGTGAATAGCAGAGAAAAAAAAAGCACAAGAAATGTGATAGAAGGGTGAATGTGAGAAAGATCCAGGACTCGAACTATAAGTTCTTCTCTTTTTGGTTTTGTTTTTTGGCTTTTAATTTTTTTTTTTTTTGGGGGGGGGGGGATAACAACCATGAATTGCTTGGGCACATTATGTTGAAATACATAACGCAGATAGTTAGTATACAGCATACTAATGTCAAATTAGGATGCTAGCTGGAAGCATGATTCATCTACAATAATCAATTACAGGAGAAGGGATTTCACCTCTTCTAGGAAAAAAAAAAGATTTCTCACCTCCAGAAAAATCAACATTTTTGGGTAAGCATTCCCAGACATACCTGTAACGTACATACTCCGACAATGCTGCTGCTGCAGCTTCTCTTTGGAATCTCACAGGTTGATTCAAGTATTTACTTAGAATAACTGATATTGCTGAAACCTGAATAAACAAATATTATAAAATAAATTACATACACATCCAGGAAAATGAACAGCACATAACAGAGGTCTCCCCATACTACTAGGAATAAGAAACAGGAATTGCAACCCAGACATCTTAGGGTTGCCATCATAAACTGGGAAGTACCAAGAGCTTTTTCACGTTGACGAAACTTAGATGGACAAGATAGTTAAAACATACAAAGCTCCCTAGCATAGATGTCAATAATGCCCAACTTGACACAGATGCAGGCAATGCCGGTTTTTAATAGCGGTTAGACCCGGTTAGAAACCTCTCAGATGACCAAGTTTAAACTCGATGATCAGATCTAGACTGTGAAAGGAGGCAATGACCCTATATAGAAAAAGAATATCTACAAACACAAGATGGAACATATTCTAACAAGTGGTAGCCTACATGAGCAGAGAGAGTACACAACAGCAGTCAGAAGAAGAGCAAACCAACATTGTGTATTTACTGTGTTTGTTTTCAGGTACTAATTTAATGGCTAGAAAAAGAAAATAAAACACTACTACTTGTTGCTTTCAAGGTGAGTGAACTCTCTATCCTAAAAAGCAATTTCACCCCAACCGATTGTGCTTTGGGTTTTTGACGAATTGATTACTAAGATACAATGAAGCAACGTATGTAGCATGATCATTAACGCATGGTTGGTGATAATCCCAGTGAACTAGTGAGTAATCAAGGATTTCAAGAAACCAAAAGGTGTGTTTCTATCGCAACACAAGTTATCATAATCTGGAGCAAGGAAAAACGTATATTTTCAGTGTTTATAACGCATGGATACATAGGGTTTAGTGACACCCCTTTTAACCATCACAACTTGGCAGATTTATGATGCTTGTCACCTTTTAGCGACACTGCAAACGGTCACAATTGTTTGAAGTTTGAACAGGTGCCATATAAACAAACTGTCATCAATTGCGACGAACCACCCTTGACCAGACCGTCACATCTGTTTGAGAGAAACCCTTCATGGACCACAAATACAAATATCTTACATAAGAATAGAAACCTCATATCCGCAGTTCCTTCCGTTATTTGATCTTTTTATGGGTCTTCTTATCTTGTCACGTCTGTTCAAGGAGACCCCTTATTTGGAACGTTGCGAATACACACCAACCATAGTGACTTCGTAGCCATGCACATGTGCAGCTCATGCATACCGAACCGTCACCTTTTGATTGGATGAAAAAATTTGTGACTCGTGGTGATGTGTAGTGGAAAGTGCACCATCAAAACGCCACATTGCCACCACGCCCAGGGTTGTGTGCGTGTAAGGTGCAACACACCCTTTTAGAACTCCCACCATTTCCATAATGTATAAATTAATAATTAGGAAAAGGTCCCACTTATATGCACATACTTATTTCATTTTTTCACCTATCAAAAAATTTCTTCTTCCTATGACTCAACCCAAAACACTCAACTTTATGCACTATTTTGAAAATTCCCCAACATACCGGACGTAGGTCAGATCTGATCACAAGTCGAAGTGGCACAACAGCAAAAGAACAAATCAAAAGTAGGACATAGAAGAAATGGAATCACCATCCAAACACACCATCTAGAAAGAAGCAAGTCCCTCCCAAGACCTAATACTAAGGATATGATACCATGTAACTATTAAGGTTGTAATGATTTACGATAATACAAACAGAAAACCCTGGTTTTTATAATACATCATGGTGAAATAAAGAAAACGAAGATAAAATCAACAGACTTGATCAAATCAGCGCTTGGCTTCCTTATTCTCTCCTTGATTAAAACAAGAGCAAGTCAGTGCTTAACTTCTTTACTTTTCAGTCTCTATGATTATCCTTTGTTACTTTCTGCATCGATTTCATTGTCTTATATGTTGTGTGTACTTTGCTACATCATTAATCTAATGAAAGTTGAGGTTTACTTTCTGTAGTCATTCTTCTGCATGTGTGTTACGGGCTAAACCCCCTTGTTAGTATGGATGTAAACAAATCCCGAGCTACAAGAATGCAACGTTGAGCTGCCATTACTTCATGTTCGTGGTCTAATTCTGTTCATTATTTTCATAGCATTCACAGACAAGTTAATCACCGATGTAAAGTGCTCAAGTTGTATTGACTCGGGAATGAGCTGAATATAGCCAACTTAACTTGAATGATGCAAGATGAAGCTTGTATGATAAACCAAGTGATGCCATGACTTGATATGATTTCTGCATAGGAATATGAGATGCTGAACTTGGAAAAGTTCATTATGATATGTTGACAGGATTGAGATATGCTGCAGGATGCTGCAGCAATACTTCTTATTGCCGTAAAAAATTTAGGACAGTTTCAACCCACACCATCTTCTTTGTTTCTGTAATAATTTTAAGTGTTACTACCCATATATACTTCAATTTTTCCCTCTAAAAAACTTGTTTCTAATCATCATTTCTCTAAGCATTTAAGTCCTAACCCGGTGGAAACATTATATGGTGGTATCTTACCATTCTATTACTGGTTAAGGAAGAAAGTTTGTGTATACTTGCACAAGCTCAATACTGATTTTTTGTGATAACAATGTCTTCATTATAAGGACCACATCAGCAATCACCTACATGCGAATTATATGGTAATAAACAGCAAACTAACAAAGCAGATGGTCTCAATTACTATGGGGCATTAGCATATCTAAAGCTCCTAGCATTCCAAATAAAAAAATAAAGACAAAAAATACATGCATACATATACATACCTACATGCATGTAGATACATATACATACAAGGAAAAAGCTAAAAGCAATAGCAACCACTTTCATTTAATCTTTTGTCAAGAAGAAGCCGCAAAGAGAATAAATAGAATTTTTACCTCTTTAGGCCTTTTTATAGAAATACAGCCAGCCAAGTCACCAATAAGATTGATCCACATTTCATTAACATTGTGCTCTCTATCTCTGGCCAAAATCTGGAAGCAAGAAGAACATTGAAGAAATAAAAAAACTGTGGTGAGGCCACCTACAATGCATCTGAAAGTACATACCTTTCCCATTTCAAGGTCCCCAACACATTCACAAAATGCCTGAAACGCTATTAAAAGAGTGCTGCAATTTAAGATGAGAGCATAGGAACACATTTAGTCTCAATCACTCTCAGCGAAATAACAACTTATCTTTTCTCCTCTCTTTCCCTGTGCTACTGAAAAGTTAACATAAACCAAGCAATAGACGTTACCGTAGTTCCTCATGCTGCCCAGAAACAGATTGACTGTGACAGCTTCCTAAATGAAGAGTAAGAATGGCAGTAACAGATGCGTAATTGTTTTCAACTGCTCTCTTCCCAATTTTACCACCTCCTCTGCAGTACATGTAAGTATCAAACCAATGTCATGTCACAAAATAAAAATGAGACAAAAATAATGCATCAAGAAAGAGACCTGAAAAATGCAGTCAGCGCAACAATAGCAGCCTGCAGAATATCATTCTCAGTACGGGCCACAACAGAATCCCCAGAAAGGTCTCCTTTTCCTATGTCGCCTTTATGCCCAGAAATGCAGCTCAGCGCAGATATCAAATGCTCCAGAAATAAGGATGAAAGTTCATTATGCTGAGAAAAAGCCTATAAAGGGAAAAAAAGGTAAGTTTTCAGGGTTGTACCATGTTAGACACACATAACAATTCATGTGATCCTTGAGGCGAAGGTCCCTACAATGTCAGCAAAGCCAATCTAACACTGGCAGCTCATAAAATGGGTAAAAGGGAGAACATGACTGTTCAAAATATAATGATAACAAGACTTTTAGCTCAGATAAGCTGTGATAGGCTAACATTACATTGATAGACAAATTAAACTGCAAGGAACAAATCAAGACTCTAGAACACGAATAAATTCTCCATGGCCTGGTTTCTAAGGCCAATTTCTTAAAGTATGTTTCAGTCTTTCTTGACTACTTCCCCGATATTAATCTAGAAGGTCACCTACTTCTCCTAGCACCTTCCTTCCACATGAATCTCCTCTCTCACCTGTGGATCCGATGATCTACTTAGCGATCCACATAAGATATCACCAGACTATCAAACCATATGTTCCTCAAAACAAACCTCAACCTACACGTATCTGCCACAATCGTCTTGCCTGTCTGGTTGAAAGATCCAGCAAGTTAATAAGCTGAGCTTAAGCTTTACCATAAACATCATTAAGTGAACTAGCAAATATGGGGAAAGGCGTACACCATGGATGGACATGATTGAAATACAAATATACATAATGGCTGATCGATAATTATAACTTCAGCATTTCATACGTAATTCTTTTACATATCATGATGCATATGACCTGTGCTCTACAGCTATGATTAAAAAAAACAGCAACTATAGTTTATCCTTCTATCATATGTATTTGAAAATTAAGAGATTTCAAAGAATTCTTCAGATCAAGACTCACCTTCATACCTCCCATGTTTGGCAAATTTTCTGAATTATATGAGGTGATATATACAATTCATGCAGCTGCCAAGTGCCTACTCCAACTACTAATCCTTCCAAAACCATAATGTACAAACGGATAGGGCTGAACCCCGTATGCACCCTGCCTCACCTAAGGTCCTAAGCGGCACCCGCCCTAAGACTACTATAGCATCAGTGTACACAGGTTGTTACATTTAGATACAAAACGAAAAAAACATATTTATGTTGTTTAAATAAACATATAATCTCAATTTTAAGTGATAGATATAGATCTGGATAACGTTGATCCCAAGAAGATAAATGAAGGGAAACACTAGAAAGGTTAAATCAGCAAGTTGATGCACATCAGAAATACCTTTACATGCACATTAAAAACTAATCCATGACCTCCTTGTCAATTAGCAGATCTTCCCCGAGAAAAAAGGCTAGATTATTTCTAAAAGATGCATTAATAGCCAACCATAGTGGTAAAATAGAAACTGCCCCTGACGCACAAACCAAATCCCTCATAACACTTGATGCCTGCTCCCACTTATTAATTAGGGTGATGACCCAAGTCCCTTGTCACTTGTTACTCTTTGACATCCAAAGGTGGCTACGCCCTTTCCACCAACATGTTATAAGCAGAGCTTGTTCAGGGAATTCAAATGGGAGACTCACTGGAATAGCATATCAAACCTAGGGAACTTGGTTATCGATATTTTCAAAATGGAATTTAATCCTAAATGAGTGTGCACCCATTACTCCTTATAAAGAGATCATAAATAACAGAAAGTGCCCTTCCCCCCGAACAAATATATCCATTATCATGAAAAGGTTATGATTGAACAGGTATAATGTTACTGACAATTTCATGTAACATCAATGTGAAGTAAGATTAATTAAAAAATGGAAGACCCATATATGTGCTCTCCCAATTCAACTCATTAGATCATCAAGCAAGTCCACGAAGCATCAAATACTTAAGTTTTCATTGCAACATTAAGTACGTAATGGGCCTCAATAAAATTGGCAAAAGACTAATCTCAAGTGCGCATCAAGTAAATGTGCTATATTAAACACTGATGGACACTCACATAAAATGCATCCTGCATTGGCCAACCACCTGGCATTCTAAGTATATCCTTGGTAACTATATCTCTTGCAGCAGCAGTCAGTACTTCACTGAAAACAACTCTCGGACAGGTATGTTCAGCTAGAGAAGAGATCTTTGTGAAGTCAGAGAAAACAATAAGTATGATCAACACAGTAACAGCAAGAAATTTAAGTCCCAAATTTGAAATAAACAATGGACGAGCTTAGCATGAAAAGGATACAGCAACAAGTGTTTCATGGCGTAAATATTTCTCAGTCACATGAATTGCAGCAGAAAGCAAAGATTGGGCAGTCCTGTAGAAAACACAAAATTTTGCCATGTAATTGAACTATACTCAAACGAAAGCTATAACCAAGAGCTCCACATTAATGACACACAGGACCTTGATATATCAGTCTCGTTCAACTCATTTCCCCTTTTGGTAACGAACTCAATGACTGCCTGTATACCACCTTCTGCTGACGGCTTAATCTTATCACATATAGCAACAGAACAACCATGAAGTGTAGCCACCAGCTGCATCAAATTACCGAGTACAAAATAAAGAACAATAAATACTCGAACACCAAACATTTTCCACATTAAAACCAAAATAAGACATGATGAAGATATATAAATATATAGAGAGTTTGAGACATGAAGAAGACATGTATATATATATATGTGTGTATATATATATATGTATATATATATATATATGTATGTATATATATATGTATGTATATATATGTATGTATATATATATATGTATGTATGCACTATATCTGTGTATGTGCATGACTGTAGACATATATGTGTGTTTATATATATATGGGTACATGTAGTCTTACCTCATCTTTTGTCAGCAATATACAAACAGATGAAATGACGCGGTTAAATACTTCTGAAGGATCAATAGATGTGTCCTAATCATACAAAATAAGTGAGTAACCAAAACAGAATACATATGAAAGGAGTTAATTTTAAGGGAAGCATTATATAAACTTACTCTTCTCAATATGGCTATAACGTCCTCAAGTGATGACAAAGCAGCATAGGACGATTCAATAGGTGTGCTATTAGAAGCTACAGGCCTCGGAAGAGACAGAGATATATCAAAAAACTGGTCTAAAATCTGCATCGAGTAAAGGAAGGTAAAAGAAAATAGACTCAACAGATTGTTGTCACATGCTTAAAGTACAAGATGAAATTCTATCAGCTTAACCATCAAGCTTCATATTTTCTATGAAAGCCAGAAAGTGTTGCTCTTAAATACTGACCTGAGCAGACACTTTTCTAACTTCAGAATTTGTATCTGCACAACGTGGAAGGTACACTATGACTCTATCTCCCAAGCATAAGGCATCTCGACTTGGCAAAAGAAATGCAGCTGCCCATGAAGCAACAACATAAATGATTTACAGAACAAAAGGAAAAAATTTAAGGAAAAAGATAGTTTAGAGTTGGACTCACAAGGCAATTTTGCAACATTGAACCGTGAGCTGCGATCAATTTGCTTGATGTGCTTGCAACTTCCCTGGCAACCAAGGGCACAGTAACCAGTAATGCAAAGGGTCCGAAATTTCAGCAGCATCTCATAAACTGCATGGCATCCTCTTTTTCTCTGATAGTCGAGGGGTGAGGAAACATACTGATCAATCTGCCTCAAGATATGCAAGAGCTGCTCTGCACGACTTCTTCCATCCTCCCCACTAAGCAATATACAAATTCATATACAATGTGGTAGGGACCTCAAATGATTGTAGAATGTAAATTGCAAAGTCACATGATCATGCAGATCTAAGACCATCCAATAACCCTAACTAAATGTGGTACATATAGAAATAATGTTTCTTATATGCTGCTCTTTTCTTTAGAAAAAATAGTTGATAGCGGGAAGGGTCTGAGTACATCATACCCCTCCAGACCCAACTCCAAGTGTGATATACTAGGTATGTTTGGTTTATGTTTATAGTGGGAAGGGTATGCACACAGAACCAAAAACAACTTATCATCAAAGCAGCAAAATGGTATCTGGTTGAACTGTACAACTCTATCTCTCTTCCCATCATTCTCTCTTCTCTTTTGATGGCATCCATTGTATGACGTGTTATATCAACCAACTCAAAAAGTGAATGCAGTTTAAACCATAGGCATGACTAGATCATTACTTGGGTTTCAAAGCACATCTCATTCCAACTTTTCAATTTACCTTTTATTGATCCTTCTTTTCCTTTTAATTGCATCTGTGCAGTAATCACTCATGAAAGATGGCCTTTAAATCAAGGTAGGAAGTACGGAAAGATGCTGTACACACACAGCACCTTGGATTGTTAATGTCCCCAGTTGTTTCTGATTTTCTATTTTAGCTGATCCCTGAAGTTCAGAAAACAAGGCTAGTTTTGTGGTTGCCTCAGATAAACACGATCTCTAGCATTCCAGTAGTTACACAGAAGTGCTTAAAACACCTCTTCCTATAATTTACATTTTCTATCAGTTTATGCTTCCAGGGAGGCTAAAGCTGCATCCAGTAACTTATGTGATTATTAAAACAATCACGAATATGAAGTCCTAGAAACGAAACAATGTCATATACCTGCTATCATTTCAGGGTTTTTTATTGTACAGGTTGCATTTACATTACTTCTACAACTACTTGCGTGTTTTTATATTGCAATTTTCTTATAGGAGCCTAAAGCAGCAGCATCCAACCCTAAGCTAAAATCTGATGTCAAGTAAAATACTAAGATACTGTCACCACCACCATCTCACCTGAAGTGAAGTGTAGTGCTGGTGTTAGATTTTCTTGCTCTATTTTTTAAAACCATTCATTCAAATATATAACAGCTTAGTTCCTATTACAATCAAGTGCTAAACTAAATCTTCTACCAGAAGTATAAATCTTGTCTGGAGAAAGAAACAACTGAGAAAAACAAACTTTTAGTGGTTCAATTTCTGAATGTTCACGAACTCCCAGGAATAGAGAAGATTGAGAGTACCTCGTGAGAAGAATTGCACACATAAGGGTAATAAGGTTGTCAATAAGAGGATTCACTGCGCCAGCAGGATCATTTGGCAAAGCAAAAAATCCTAAGGTGGCCTGTCAAATGGAATACCGATTTAATAGATATGAGAAAATTTAATAGAAGCTGAGTAGACTAGCCACTCAAATCAAAAACATAATTAAATTTGGTACCTTCATGACAATGTTCCGCATTTCATTTGTCAACTTTGGATCCACAGATACCAAAGTAGTGCAAGCACTTAAAGCAAGGGCCTAAAATAATGAAATGAAAATAAATGAATAAACATGGAACAGATTATCTTTAGAGTAATCTAATTAAATATGTATATAGGGCATCAAAAACCTGAGTGTGTAAGAGCTCAACACTCAAATCAGAAAAACCATCTTCATCATTTCGACGCATCAGAGTTAGTATGTAGTCAAGCAATTGGTCTCTTTTTTTCAAAGGGAATGATATACCACTTTCTGCAGCATTAATGACAGCACGTCCTGCAATCCCAGCAGGGCACCATCAAACCATAAAGTGGTTTGTACATACTCATTAACATCCAATACCAAGATAATGCACCAACAATTATCTGTACTTCCATAACAGCCACTTTCAACTTGATTAAGAGAATTAACATAAATATTCTGAAGTGGGAAATTGGCTTTTGCTGATTAAAAGAATTAACATAAATACTCTGAAGGACAGAAATGCAATGATTGATATAAAAGCTCAATACACCGATAAAAGTAAAAAAAAAATAGTGCTTGGAACCACGTGTTATGGCACCCACCAAGACTCCATGGCAACAAAGTGCCGACATGGCCTCCTCGTAAATTGTTCATAATGTGAAATTAACATGTGCATTTAGTTCATCTCAATGTTACATAAGACAATTCTATGTATACCTATATGGCTGTACCCAATGAATTATTACAAAAAAATTGAACATCACCAAATACACAGCTATATTTGATCATTGAACCTAAAGCACCTGATTTTTCCTCAAAACAATAAAGCATTTGATAAACCATTTGAGCAAAACAGCCCATTCTCTATCGAGCATCCTCCAGGAAGAAGATTCCTCTCATCGTGTCTAACAAATAGAAAAAATGAAAAAAAAAGCATAAAATAGAAGGATCCACTCTCTCGTAGCCGGAGCAAACTCACAAACCACGAAACATCTCCATCTGCCCCATGAACATTACTCTTACTTGGAAGAGATAGGTCTTCCACCATTATTATCTTGTGCACCCTCGTCATTCTATGCAATAATCTCAACCAGAGTCCATATCAATATTTAGTCCCTTTTAAGTGGAATTGCCATTGTGAGAAGAGAAGGGAACAACCTCCCTAGTACCGACACTGGAATTGCCGATGGTGATGATGGACAACTGCAAATGACGAGTTCATCTGTCCTATCCTCTTACCATTCCGCAGTCTTTGTTTCTGTAGCAAGAGAGCTGATCAGCATTTTACACTGTCTCCTTTTTGCTCAAATTTGACAGGTTAGGTTTGTTCTTGTTGTCGAAATCATGGTCTGGCTAGGATTTCACATCAATTTGGATATTCAACCACATAGTCAACAACATGGCTGTGTGCATCAAGAGATTCAGATGCCAAATAAACCTCGAACTTGATCTATTGCTTGCCATGCCTGTTCACCACCGCGATGCCTAGGCAGTTCCATTATATATGCTCAAAGCACATCGAAATTGTTTCAAACTCCACTCAATCAACAAACACATTACAATGGGTCAACAAGTTTCCACCAAGTGCCTTGGCACTCTGAACGATTTTGGTATGTTACTTGCCTTAAGCTTCCATGAAACAGTGACATGTCATGTTTGATTCTGTTGATTACATTTCTACAAAGCAGAGTGGTATCAACCTAAGCATTTTCAAATCACCCACTTTGCCACACACACAAACATATAGTGGACGGGAGCTGGAACTATTGTCTTCAACTAAAACTAGGTTCATCATCACAGGGGTAATATGCATTGACATATAATACAACATAATCGTGTTGTGGATTAGCGTTTTCACTTCTGGGAATAGCTAGTAGTCATTAGGCATTCTTCGTTACAAAGGCATTTGTCGATGAAGACAAAGGTTGTGCTCTGGTCAAAGATAAGCATATTCAGTTTTGAACACTGCTAGTGCTTGGTGAGAGGTTGAGAATCTCTCATGCACCATGATTGTCTTCATGCTGCAGTTTTTGAATGATACTTCGAAGACATAAAAATTTCCTCAGGATGGTGAAAGTTAAGTTCAGAAAAAGCATGTGCTCTGTGTCCAATTAGCATGACCCGATGATCATCGACTTTATAAAGTTAACTTTTTAAATATATATAATATTTATATACGGAAAATACTCACACACACTCCTCACCTTTGGTGAGATTTGAACCCTCGACCTCCACAGAGACTAGGATTTACCGACAACCTGGAGACCAATGGGCTAACGACCCTTTGGTAATTTTATAATGTTATTGCAGAAACCTATGTGACACTAGAAGCAATAGTAGGAATCGACTAAACAAAACAAGTATGAGCAAATCACAATTGGCACACAAGGTTCCGAGTTATTGCAGGAACCCTGGATTGGTACCCATTTCATCATCATTTTAGCACGTAGAGGAGCATCAAAATATAGAAGATCTAATGAAGTTTGTGTATGACTGATCCTTTAGCATGAGATGTAACAGGGTGTACATGTTACCTTAGACAAACTAAACTCCAGGTCGGTCAGCATCATTGTAACATGCAGACTTTTTCAATCCGTGTTTGCCAGGACTCGGTGAATCTCATTTGAACAAATATTCTTTGGTTCTATGCTAGGATGGTAAAACTTAACTCTTGCCCCTACAAATTGTCAACCCTCACCACTGAGTACTCACCTATCCTATTTACCCTATTGTCCTCAATCAGCCAGATATTTACTTTTCTATATTAGGAACATTTTGCTTTTCCACTGCCATTAATTGCAATACGGTATTTATGAAGGATTGGTGGTCATTCTAAACAGTAAACTCGTAGAAAATATTGTCTAGTGTTCATGAAAATTCCTCACCAGGACTAGAGTCGCTTAATGAAAATTATGTATAAAGTTAAATAGTTCCATCGTCATCTAATATCATACATACGATTACCGAATCAACGTTCAATTATGCTTGTCGAACTTCACAAAGGAAATATGTTTGAAAGGAACACAAATAAGATAGAACCCCAAGCACATAATTGTAAGATTGTGTACCAACCTAGTAGGTCAATGGCAGTGATAACAGCTTGCTTCGCACTAGGGTGGCGTACAATTAGAAGATGGGACAGCATATTAGTGCCCTGAAAAAAGCAGCGACAAGTCATTGGCATATTAAAATACACATAAAATTCCAAGAGACTAGTTCTTGACCGTCCCGAACAAAGCAGGCCTTTTATCACAAACTAGTTGGCATAGACTAAATATTAAACCAAAAGAAAGTACACACGATGAACCCCGACTCAAGTATAAAGAGGTGAATGCCCCGTGGTCCAGGACACAGATGACAACCATCCCCTCAGTGAACAAAGAGGCTGACTCCTACGGAATCTTCCACTCATGCATGTCTTTTATAACTACTTCCCTCCTCTTGTCACTCTTGACTCACTTTTACCTCTTCTAACTGGACAAGAAACATTAAATTGGACCGTTGGGGTTGTTATAAATTTGATCTGATTGACTGGGATGAATTCTTCATCTTTCAGTTCTTTCGAAGTTATTCGATCCTTTTCTGCGTCCGACCCCTCCCTTCCTCCACACCATCCCGAAGGGTAACTAGGACCAAGTGTTTCATGTTCCAATTGAACACTTTCCACTTTTAATTATTCTCAAAGAAGAATATTGGCACTGTACCAAGAAGGGTGAACCCAAATTTGTTTCTTGTTGATTGAGATGAAGACAACTCCATAACAATGTCTTGACTGTGAATTCAACTTTACCTTAAGTTATAATACTTTAATGTTTCTCCAAATGGCTAAGGGCATACTGGAGGCTGCGAAAAAAATCTACTCGGTCATCAAACAAAGAGAATGGCCGGGGTCTGTCAATCATCTTAGAAGTTTATGACAAGAGATCAACAATTACCAATACATTGAAACGAGATGCAGTTGAATGAGGCAATATTGAAGAACTTTAGTGAAAGGAATCAACTGTATGATTTTGATGAAGTGAGAAATACGGTTCCAGGTAAAGAAGAATTATCTCCATTGAGTGTGACCATTTACATTGTCAATGTAGATGAAAGCCAAAGGGAAGTTATGTTTCACAACCCACCTCTTGAGGAGTCACAAAGTAGAAAAAAAAGTAAATGACAAGACCAAATATACAACCGAGACATAACATAAGCCTCAGACACGGCAAATTCAAAACCTAGAAATTAGAGCAACAGATCTCAAACGAAGGCGGCCTCTGGTGAACCTATGGTAAGAAACTGCCATATAAAGAACCAATGTTGGAAGTTACATGGAAAATCATGAAGTTCACAATAAACATGAGACCTAAGGCTGGACTCCAGCAAGGTTGAGTTTATTTGACTCATACCAAGGAAGAGGACACAAAAGCAGAGGATGATCAACATAGAAAACATAGAAAAGCCAAGTCCTCCCTTGGTTATTAGGAAATGCTTACGATACATGTTCCTTGGAAAAATCACCATTTTTCACCTTTTCTTCATAAGCCTTGGTGCCTCAAATTTCGCTTTGCCATAAAGTCTTAAGCCACAGATCATATGACCCACCCTGTGCATGAATTCTTCTCATATTAACCATGTCATAACAATAAAATATTTTCCCTAACTCGCCAGTTCTATTGTGTTTGTTAACTTAAATAATCTAATTTTCAAAGTTTTTTCATAACTAGAGCCTTTTTCAAGACCAAGTTATGATGAAAGATGATCATTAAAGCATCTTTGAGTCAAAAAGCTTTACTGACACTAGTTCAAGTCACTGATCTTAGCTCTCCGAGAGGTGTCTTGATCACAACAGCAAATTCTGATATTTCAAAATATTTGTGTATTAGATTTACATTCTAAGAATGGGTTATTGTGTTGCAAGCATGTAAACTAACATATTGTGCCAAAGATATACAAAAAAAAACTGTAGGGAAGCCACCTAGCTATGGACCCACTACATGACCAAACATCCCTTTGTGAGTGTGATTAGTTAGTTCATGCTTTCCCCTTGCACCAGTCACCGAAATGCAGTTCTACAGATTTTGGTGTAACTTAAGGCCTCTTTTTGAGGAGACACTTTGTACTCCAGTTATGGTCGCTATTAAGTCCATGCATCATGAAGAAGCATCTGGGAAGATCGCATGAAGATCAAACGGTTCTCAGATGGAGATTGAGCATGATATCCATTTTCCCCTTGGTCTGCCACTGCCTATGGAGTTTTCATGGGTGGAAACCTCGACTTGTGGAAAAGCAAGAAACAAGAACCAGCATCAAGATTAATGTCGAATTGCGAGTATTGTGTTGTAGCAGATGTTTCTTGTGAAATGATATGGACCAAACAGCTATTACATAAGTTAGGACTTCGACGCATTGGACTGCTTGGGTAATGTCCAATTGCCCAATTGACATGGTGATAAACCACCGATAGTGGATGTATATTCTAGAAGGAGACAGAGAGAAAAGGGGTGAAGGGTGCATGTGCTGATCGTTAGTGGGGAAGGGGGTAAGTGGGTCTTTTCCTTGATTCTGAGTGGGAATTAGTATAAAATAAGTTGTTTGGGGGGGAGAGGCAGGCACGTCAAATTTTTGTGAGTATTTTCTCAATTGGGAGAGAACCTGGCTCTCAAAATCCAGGATATCTCTCTCTGTAATTCTCACTTTGAGTTGCAACTCAATACAAATCGCTGGTAGCTTATCACATGGTAAGTACTAGTCAAACCGTCACCTCAATAAATGATTGGAATCAAGTTGCAACAAATAAAGAAAGTATAGCACTAGCATCCAATAAAAAGGGGAGAACATCAACTAGTTAGCTAGTTAATCAAACAGACAGTCAAATTTTCAGTTTGCCAGCACTAGCTTATAGTTTGAACCAGGAAAAGCAGACTTGTTAAATTTCCAGTTTGGTGGTTGCTACCATTTCTGCAAGGGTACAACTTCAATAGAAGCTTAATTGAGTGTTCTTCACTGCCAAGATTTAAGGCAAATATATACTCCCTCCGTCCCAAAATAAATGTTCATAACACAGTCTTAGAAATGTGTAATTATTAAGCATTTTAATTAACTAAATGACAACTTTACCCTTCATGGAGTAATGAATTTCTCCATCTCATAATTAAAGGTAGAATTGAAAAGTAAACACTTACTTTTGAAACTAGACAATTATTTTGAGACAAAGTAAAGTTCAAATGTAGACACTGATTTTGGGACGGAGGGAGTATTAGTTACCATTCAAAGATCATATGCATGATGAGCACACAAATATGAACCTGTGTCCTGTTCATGAAATAGAGCATTTGCATAATCGACATAAAACTGAACTCCAAAATACTGACATCATACCACAAGTGCATCTATTCTGGCTTCAATTACAGTAGATGGCGCATATCTTGCAGCATATCCATACATCAGAGCCATTGCAGCATGAATATCATCAGAATCTTTCATCTTACTTTTATCTGAGAAAAAGGATAGAAATCTGCAATTCAAACAGTCATGCGCAGTTAAGCCTAAAGTATATAAAGTTAAAACAACCAAAAGCACGTGATTACATGGAGAACAATGACAGCACGTCTGGCAAATAATAGATTATAGGGGGTGGGTTGGGGGGAGGGGTTTGGGAGGGTGGAGGGTGGGTTAATGTGGTATCTTTGGTAGAGACCGGGAGTTTCTTTGGTGCATACTATGAGCTTTTTAGCTAGGTAGAATATTTGCATTCTTTTATAATTTTGTCTTCATAAAAAACTTTCTCTTCAAATCTGTGGATTACATTTGTGCTCTCTAATTGTTTTACTTACAATTTCTCGTAAACAACCTCTCTATCTCTCGAGGCAGAGGTAAGGTCTACGAACATTCCCCCCACAACAAACCCTACCCAATGGGACATATTGGGTTTGTTTGGTTTTGTTTATAGTAATATTGTACAACAATAAACAGATTACAATGGTAAACTGATTCTGATGCCTTCCGCCTGTACACAAGCTTTACACAAACCATTTTATCAATCAGGTAATACATGCATTAGTGACGAAGCCGAATGGCATCAGACAGAGATGTATTCAACAATGAGAAAATACATGCCTATGAAAGTAACATATCCAGTTCTACCTTACTACATTAATGGACCCTTGTGAAATTTTTAATCACTTAAAGAATCCTCTCCACTTGTTGAAGATCACAACGTACAGAAATACATACAAGGATAGAAAGTTCTAGAACTTCTAAATCTATTATTATCTAGCGAGCATATACCTCTGCAAAATACTCTCCCCAATGTTGTCAAGAACTTCTTTAAGTTTATCCAGAACAGTGTCCAAGTGGGATGCCGCAACCTGCAAGAATTTGTTTCAACAACTTACAAACATTAATGAGTAGATGATGTGACACAGCTTCTAGGTCTTTATTTACTATTCTACTATTGTTATTAAAATTTCAATGGGATGGCATAACTTATACCATCCCATGGAAATAGGAGTGTACTAAAACCACTACTACTTGCACAAACATTTGTAGTATACATACCAATCCCATGGCTTTTGCCAAACCTAGCCGATTTTCAGGAATGGTAATATTTGATCGCTTGTACATCCAGTCTATCTTATCACGAACATAAGTCCTGTTATCGACTTTCTGAAGAAGTATCCCGAGACATCTATAAAAGGAAAAAAAAAATTCAATATGCTGCTCAAGACAAACTACGATAGAAAGAACTAGAAACCCAATAAGATAAGAACTTGCAAAAGCATTGTCGCAAAATGCAGATGTGCACTTCCCACATCAAATCAAATAATACCAGCAACATCGTCGATCCAGAAAGAGAACACAAAGTAATACCAATAAGGTCATACCGGTGAAGTAGTGCAGAATGCTCGTCATCAGACGTATAAAGTTCATACTGTTTCGCAAAAGCATTTCCTAGAGAAATGACCCAATCGGTGTCTTGGACAACATCCAATGTTTCAGCCAGAAACTGTATTAGAACAATAATGCATTTTTAATGACATGAAGTATAAAATGTGGATCAGCAGTTTTTAAATTTCATATATAGCTCATAAAACATACCGTGCTAGTTTAATAACTTCTAAAAGATTTCTTACAAGCCTTGTTACAAATTAAAGGATTTTAAAGGAAGTAACTTCAAGATTATCTTTCAACTTTTCTTCTATATTGATCAAAATCAGTGAAATTGATATGATAAATCTATTGACATAAAAAATTTCTGAACTGTCATGGTTAAAAGATGTCAAATAATCTTGACAGCATCAAACCAAAGAATTTACAATGAAGTGAAATGAAAGAAAAAAATCTAGAACATGTAACCATACGAATTAGCAGGGAGTTCATAACACGTACATTGATTATCATATCATCCCACGTCTCTTGATAACAGAGGTCTTGTTTAAGGTCTTCTGCGTCGCTGACATATGCTTTCATTTTTGGAATCTAGAGCTTACCAAAACAATATATTAGTTAGAGTTGGGTCAAAGCATAATTATTAATTAATTCCACATTATAACATATAGAAATGCAATTAGATCTAGAATATAACAAAAATGTTAAAACTAAATGATTTTTGAAAGAGTCAACACCATACAGCACCCCGGTTAAAAGAATTTACAATGTTTAACAACAAAAAGGTGTGAGTAGTTAAGGCTTGGACAAAATTTATATTGCTGAGGTCACACCCTATTATAATGGCACATTGCTCGGATACTAGCATCACATACACATATATAAACTATAGGTAAACATCACAATATGTGCACTCATCTAACAATATCACCTCATGTTGGAGCAAACTTATGAGTCAAGCCAACTTGCTATGCATAAAAGCCAGACAAGATGTGAATATTTAAGGCTCAAACAAGATGTATATTGCGGAGGTAGCACCCTATTATAATGACACATTGCTCAAATACTAGCATCACATACATATATAGAAACTGTAGAAGTAAACATCAAAATATGTGCACTTATCTAACAATATAGTTGGAGCAAACTTATGAGTCAAGCCAACTTGCTATGCATAAAAGCCATCCAAAGTTCATCTGAATGACATCAACCGGTGATCTGTCAGGATCTTAACTCCTACTTGGCAGATAGGGGCACAGAATGTGCAAAACGCCAAGCCCAAAGCAAGAGGTTGGCCCAATAACTTCAAACTTGAAACCATGGTGGAAGTTATTGTAGCTACAACTTTGAGCATAAAAGGAGCTCACAAATTTACTTTTTTGTCCATGTGGGACGGGTTGTTACAAACTCCCCCACTTAAACTCTTGACTTCCTCATTAGGCCCTCTCAGAATCTTCCTCCTTGTAATCGACGATGTAGGATTCATCTAAGATGTCACAAACATCCCCCTCCCCCTCAAAGACTCATCATTCCCGATGAGGTTTGCCCCCATCATCCAGATGGTACAAGGATCGGCTGTGATACCATTTGTAACGCGCCAAACCCAAAGCAACAGGTTGGCCCAATAACATCGAATCCAACTTAAAACCATGGTGGAAGTTATTGGTAGCCACAACTTTGACCTTATACAGATCTCATATATCTACTTCTCTATCCATGTGGGACAAGAAGTTATAAAATGTCTCAAGCAAGTTCCTTTTGAGATACAAAAGATTATACAAAACACAGCAGCCCAATGGATGCTGCAAGAAAATACATGAATTGGGTTACTGTTAAAGAAGACGATTCAACTTTCCCAAAGCCTTCTGTACTTCTTGAGAGTTGCAAAAAAAAAAAATTGTTCTTCAGGCATTAAGTTGTCATTCTGAACCATGGGTGGATCCAGATGCTTACTACCAAGCAGCTCACAAGCAACAGTTACAGAAGCTACTTTCCTTGGCAAGCAAGTGTCCGACAAGCCTCAGTTACAGAAAGTATCAGCTGATAAAGATTTTTTAACTGAAAACAACCTTCTAAGAAACTTCTTTGGATATGCTATCCCCATGGTATCAAATCAAGAAACACACCGGAACGTAATGAATTAGAATAGATCAAGGTCAGATGCCAAAACAAGATGCTGGAACAGATCAGACAGTCAAAAATGCATGAGACAATCAGGCATCAGATGACTTTTACCAAAACTCGGTACCAAGTCAAACTTGTGTCACTGAGCGCTATTAGTACAACGACATTCCTTCCTAGATAAACTCCCCAACAAGTACTGAGAATTGAAAAAGAACTGCAATATTATGTACAATTGGAAGAGAACATAAATTGGCGGTCAAATATCTGACTATGTATAATGGTTACTCTTATGTCGGTGATGGCTATGTTTAAAGGGTTAGGATTGTCAACACTAGCACTTTAGCTCAAATATGTGAATATTTAGGGTTTTGATAAGAGCAGAGGGGAATCCTGAATACATCAAATATATAGGAACATTTTCAAGGAACAAACTAGAATCATAAATCTATCAACATCTAAGCATGAGATCAAAACATTTCAGTGATATAGGAACTCCAGCCATGTTGCAGCCAAAGAATAGTGGGCTTAGAAACAACATAGATGCAAGCAGTGTTAGGCAAAAGTGTTATCTGCCAGCATCTAGGTTCATTCACGTTGTCAAACTTCAGAAGTAATGTGAGAACTACTTGTTTGAACTTTGTTGTCCCCTCCCTATCCACTCATAAACCTGTCATTATAACAATTGAAAGACATATACAAGAAAAAAGGCACAAATATTTGCAGCTGAATACTTAAAAGATGCTGCTAAACTTTGGGATAGAATCTTTGCACAACAGTCTTTTATAAGTTCCTCAAAGCATTAGCCTGGCATAGAAAATTACAGAATAACCACATGACAAATTATTGACTATGTAACTTGGTACCTCATCTTGCCAAAACATGTTCACATTTTTTGGAAATAGAGACGCCAAGTAACACAGCACCTGCAAGAACCAAGAAGAAATGAGGTTAACGCTTCTTGCACAACTCAGGTCTACTGCCGATTTTTACCTCCTTGATGTGCTATAAAAATAATAAAAATGTAAGAAACCAATAACCTGCAACGATATTGGTCTCAACTCTCAATGCAGTGTAATCAAGAGAAAAGTTTCATTGACGTTCACACCTTAAGGACACTTGCTAAGAGCTTTAGATTACTCTTTCCCACACTAAGGGGCCATTTACCAAACACTAACCGAGTAAGCGCTTATCGGGTCCCTTGCCTCACTAGGCGAGCATGGCAAGCTCCGAGAATCTTACCCGGTAAGAGCCATGGCAAGGACCGAGAATCGTACCCGATAAGTGAAGGTGGTGGCTCTTACCGGTTAGCGCTTACCAGTAAGAAATGCTTACCAACCATCTTACTATGCCATTTTGATACCCGAGAGTCTTACCCGGTAAGGTAAGTGAAGACGGTGAGTCTTACCCGATTAGCACCAGTAAACGGCCCCTAAGTTATTGTTCTACATGTCAAAGTTTCTGCAAAAGAGATTTTTACTAATTTCAAGCAGTTTAATAACAAGATAAATAACATAGATAGATTTTTAGTATATGTAAGTGCTAATATAACACCCAAATGGAAGCCCGATAAATACTTCAAACTTTGTCCAAATGCCTAGTATGTAAACTTCTAGGACAATGACAGACATTTATATGACCCGTCTACAAAAGGTGAAAATGGTGAATAGTGAACAGATCAATGTCAGAAACAAGGGATATTATCTAAATTACTTGACGAACTTGACTAACACGAATCAAGTGAATAACTGAATAGTATAGTAATGTCTAGCTTGGTAGCCCAGATGTTTTGACCAAAAGCAGTTCTTACTTTAGCTAAAAAGTTACGAGCAACTTAACAATTTCAAGTTGAAATGACTAACCTGGTATGAATGTATAGTTGTTAATGGCAATAACCAACAGGACTTACCGTCAAAATTTGAGTAGCCAGTTGCTCCCTTGCAAGAGGATCATGAAGAAGCACCACCAAACGTGCAAAAAGCTCCTAAATGTGCATTTGAATCAATCATTTCCAGGCTATCCATGTAGAATACATGAAGCGCAAGTCTAAACGTATGTATAATCAGGAGGTACCTCAGGGCGTGGAATATCAACACGAGTTCTACATTCACGTATCATCCTATCATTATGAAGAGATCTATGCCTGCACATATCTGATATGCATCTACAAACCTGTAAAGTGGCTTGCTTATTCCAGAACATCACAGAAATTCATATGGAAGTAAGGTAAAGGCATGCATAATTCTGATGGAGCAAAAACAACTTCTTACCGAACAGTTAGAGGGGCACCAGGAATGTCCAGGATTGGTTTAATAAAAATAAACTCTAAATATGAAATCTTAATCATATGGTGAAATATTAGATAAATCGGCATTACCGTGGCAACTGCACCAGCGTATACACGCGGTATAATCATCTTCAACATGAATGGCCAAAGAACATGCTGCAAATTCACATTAAAAAATCTGTGTTGACCTTTGAATTCAGAATTTTTCTTTTTAACCAACCAATTCTATACAGGATATAAAAGGTCATATTGCAACATTCTATAGGAAAACCCCTTTAACAAAGAGATATCACATTAGCTATGCTGTTAATATCGCGATATATCGGCGATATATCGGATATCGCTCCTAGGAAAAAAAATCGGACCATAAATATCGGTCAAAATATCGGGGCCGATATTATCGGCGATATTTAGCGATTTTTTAGCGATTTTTAGCGATATTTGAGGTAAAAATCGGACCGATATACCGATACATTCACTGGCTCTGTTGTTGTCGCTGGCTCTGTTGCTGTCGCTGGCTCTGTTGCTGTCGCTGGCTCTGTTGCTGTGGCTGTACTCTGTAGCAACCTGGTAAGCAGAGGAGATCGAGAAGTGTCGATTACAGTTGCTGCTGTGGCTGTAGCAACCTGGTAAGCAGAGGAGATCGAGAAGAGAGACCGAGAAAAGAAGAAGACGTTGTGAGAAGAGAGACCGTGAACGTGAAGAGAGACCGTGAACGTGAACTCGAAGCCGTGAGAAGAAGAAGAAGTCGAAGTTGTGAGAAGAAGTCGAAGTTGTGAGAAGAAGTCTGAAGTTGAAGTCGTGAACTCGTGATTAACTCAAGAAAGAAGACGACGTTGTGGAGTAAGGAAGCTTCACTGATTTCAGATTCAGACCTAATTTAGCCTAAAAAATTAGGCCCATGGAATAACAAAAGCCCAAAATTTTGAACACTATGTGATGTTTTAATTTTGAAACTATATTTCTAAACTCTAATTAATGCATATTATATATATAATTCTAAAAAATATTATGTTAACCGCTTTTTCCGATATATCACCGATATAACCGATAAATCGAATATCGGTCCTGACCGATATTTCGTATTCTGACCGATATAACAGCATAGCACATTAGTAACTTAAGAAGGTGAATTCTGAGATGTTCTCAATCATTCCATGAAGTATTCTCATAAAAAAGATGAGTGAAACAATTGCAACCCCAAGCATGACATCAGAATGAAGAGGGAAATGAGGACAGTTTCACAGGGACAGGGTTAAGACACTTTACCTCCATTTCAGGAATAGTTATGGTTATCAAAAGGAGACCTTTTTCACATATTGCCCTTAACTCTGTTGGACGAACAGCCCCAATTTTCACCTGCAAGGAACAATGGAACACCCACCACTTACTGGACATTCTAGTTTTATCCCTTAAGAAGCAAAAAAGAAGTTTAATTGCCAAGCGGGTTTTTGCAATAGATGAAATACAAACCTCTGATCTCTTTTGCTGAAATGAATAATACAGGTAGCTTGGCTTAAATATATCTTTCGAACTAATAATGTCATCAATTTCTTGATCTGACATGGCACAATGTCGTACAAGATATTCAACAAACAGCTCCCCAGAAGGACCAACCAAGTAACAGTGGGAAGCCATAACAACTATTAGCTGGAAGGACAAACAACTAAAGTTAGAGATTAAACTAACAATCTCGTGAGTCCAATAATAAAGAATGAGAACATACCTCTGCAAGTGCTTTACAAACCCCCAAATTATGCTCCTCTAAGAGCGCCGTAATGGCTTCTATCAGTGCCGACCTTTTATTATGCCAACCTTCGGACAACCTTGTAAGAAATGTCCAACAACTGGTGTGAGAAAAGAGGAAAAAATAATGGCTGATGCTCCAGATGCACATACTCCATGTCCAAGAAACAATAACCCGTATATGGGATGTCGCATACTAATTTTCACATCCATAATTTTACTGCATTGCTTGAAGGTAACACTATTTTACAGTCATGTGTAACATATAGCATCATTGCCAATTTAATTTACAATAAAGAGAGAACCTGGGCAACAGATGCTTCAGGACGCAAAGAGCACCAAAAGTCATATGATCTTCTTTCAACTTGGATTTCTGTAAAAGGGAGAGACATGCCAATTAATGAAGAAACCAGTATTATAATAATCAAAGTTGATGGCGAAGGTGTAGTAGAAGATTCCTGAAATTAAAGGAGACCAGTAGTGACACATTTTTTTAACTATAATATCAGGAAGAAAACATGGGACTCACGTTTAAAAGAAAAATAAATAGATCCTCAGGATACACCAGCCCAACAGTAAGAAAGCAATGTTGAACTTCATTATATGTCTGCAAGAAAAGCAGTCAAAACAGTCACGAGTAGATATAAGGCTTCCATCAGATTAAAGACAGTAAAAACAGAATTACATCAACATCAAGCGATCAAACACAAAATTCCATCCAAAAACAAAGACAATAAGCACGGAAATCAATCAAAAAATATAAGGAATTTGAATAACCATCTCATATCAAGTACCGATTACATTATGGTATCTAGTTCAGCCAAACATAATAAACAGTTCGTAAAAATGTTTTTTGATGTGCCTTTACATAAATCTAGATGAGTTAGTAGATGACGAGATGTTATTAGGGTAAATAAAATGTACAGTAAGATGTAGAAAAAGAAAAAAAAAAAAACTCAACAACTGCACTCTCACTATCATGTGAAAATTGCAACAATTTCCATTTGGGATGTCTCATGGACACTGCAGCATTTTCTTTCCTTGGCAAACTTATGTTTGTCATCAATACAAATGAATGATGCTTTTTTTACTTTAGTCCACAAAATTCCTCTATTTTATCATTACTGAAGTGCAACTAGCGTTTGACTACTAGTCAACCAGTCTTGTTAAATCAAGTGCCTATACAAATATTTTCGTGGGACGATTCAGTGCAGAAGTTATATAATAATAATATCAAGCAATCATTTCCATGCCTTTGGGCGACAAGTAGCACAAGCCTCTCAATGCAAATGTTGAAACTAAAACTTTCCAAGGGATGTAGTGATTGTTGAACAAAACCATAACAAGTAACAATCGTCAAGATACAAAATCCTATGATATTGAGTTTGTATAGTGATGGAAAAAAGAGCACCTTGAGGCCAACTGAGAAATCTGAACTCCCTTTGACGTCTGTATAATTACAAAGAACTGGAAGAAGTGTCGATAAAACAACTGTGAGATCCTGAAAGTTCAACAGATAACAGTCATCACTAAGCAGTTAGCCATTCAGCGATGCATCTATAATCAACAAAAGCAAACACAATGAATTATTGCTTAACCCCAAGACACGCCTGAACCCAACTAAAACAGTTTGTAAGCACAAATGCCTCAAACTCGGAACAACATTTTCTAAAACTGTAAGAGGCAAGGTGGCAGCATGTCTGAGTTTTACTAGGTAGCTTGGCATGTATTTACAATCAACTGGATCTGTTCATTAAAACCAAGATTTTGGTGGACAAAATATGAAACGAAGAATTAGGGAAAAATAACTAAAATAAAATTGGATTCATAAACTTCACACCCAGAATACCTATTACGGTAGACTTCTGGTTGATGAAGGTCAAGTTAAAGATATTATACATTTCTTGGAGGGAACCTCGTAACTAGGAGAAGTAGAAAAGCATAATGTAGTAGCAACATCAAGTTCGGAATTTTGGGCAATAGCTCAAGGAGTGTGTGCCTACTTTAGGTGAAGATTATTTTAGAAGATTAAGAGATCAAGTGGAATGCTCCTATGAGACCGTATTGTGAAAATACGTCAGCAATAAGTATAACCCATATTCTGGTATAAGACTATAAGTGCACCATGGCTGAACCAAGCACATTGAGATCAGTAAACATTTTATCAAGGAGAAGTTGGAGAGTAGTTTAATCTGCATGCCTTATGTGTCTATACAAGAACAACTTGCAGATGTATTTACCAATAGGTTAAACAGTTGCGTTCAATAATTTTGTATCCAAAGTGGGAATGGAAAATATCTATTCACCAGCTTGAAGGTGGGTGTTAAGAAATTTGTAATTTAGTTAGGATATTTCGCTAATTTATTAGATCCCATAAATTGTGGATTTAATTTGGTTTCATTAGGATCCCCAATTATGGGATTAAGCTAGGATAGTCATGTATAATATGGCATATTGTAAACTTTGCATAAATTAGACAATTATTATTCTTACTCAATTCCTTTAAAGTTAAGGTTTTTTAGTCAAAGTTGGGTGTGATTTCCAACAAACAATGAAGCAACTGTACTGTCTTTAATGCTTGTATGGATACATCAGAAAACAAACTAATGGATTTCATAAATAATGTTTTTGGATAAAAACTTTAGTCATAAAACAATTAGATCCCAAGTGTTTACAACCATTTCCTCCATTCTTCATTGTCCAATCTATGCACCCAGTTTTCATTTCTCCCCATCAAGTAATGGGGCCCATAATCACATCTTTTCTTCTCACACCAAATGGAACACTACTATATGGATTTGAACTATATGCCGTCGAGATACAATCTACAATTGGTTATAGCATGCATACAGCTTGAGGAAGCACATGGTAAAAAAGTTAACAAAATTGAAGACAGACCATCAGAAATGATTATAGTCTAACTAACCTCAAAATCAAGCAAAGGAGAACCGTTTTCAGAGAGTAAAGAGGCACTCAATAGACTGTGAAGGCTACATGTAGCCAAAAACGCAATATCTTGGTCCCTTCTATACCTACATAACAGAAAAGAAAAATGAATTCATCTCTTTAATATTTACAATGTTCATCCATGTAAAAGCAATGTGCTATGTTCAAACAGTAAGAAAACTAGTTCTCTATCCAAAAACATGTTTGAATAATAGGAAAAATAGTACTCTATCCCAAAACATATTATATATAAATGGTCCAATAACATACTAAAAAACACGCATGTGGAGACAGAAAAGTTCATAGGTGCACGAGAAAAACAATAGTCTTAAGTGTGTTGCATCCCAGTCAATTATAATTATGAATGATCATGTATCTTACAATTCCAATATAATTGGAACAAATTTGGGTAAAGCCGCCTTCAACAATGTTCTTGTAACAAGACCGACCATTTGACCCAATGCTTCAACAGCAGATGTCCGAACCTGAAGAAGATGTTATATTAGCTTGAAAGTACAGAAGTGCTAGAGCATAAAATAAATCCAGTTTATTGCTGATGAATATCATAAAACCATGGTCAGCAACATTAGATACAGAGTTATAATTGATGGATACAAACGCCAGTTTCCATTTGTATAACGAACAGATGATTGTTCATTTTTTCGTCAGTGACTTTTTTCTGAACTAGTTGGTAAGCTAAAACAATTCCCATTGAGGACTTTTGGAAGGAGGAAGAAAAGATAATCATGTAAAATGACTCGTCTACACAAAATGTGCAAGTCCTCTCCTATCTAAGACCAACTCTTTAGTCATTATAATATTTTGTTATAGCCCTTTCCACCACTTCTAACCGCTAATTCCGGCCTACCCTCACCTCATATATTTCATATTGGTATGATTCAGGTAGAAGAAAACAAGAACCGCATGAAGAAATTTTGCAACACCTTATTTGCAATAAATAATGTTGTAGTATTAAGAGTTATATGTCATTATATCTAGGAGGAATATAAGGGGATTTAAGATTATAGTATCATCATGTGTGTGCCTTGGGTGAACAGTATAATCAAGAAAGTAATCAAATGAATATGTAATTTGTTTTGTAGATAGATATTTAGTTAGTTTAGTTTTAATTGTTCATTAGGAAATGTTTCCTAGTTCTAGACTCCTAGTCAATCGAGAATTTTTTAATGTAAGTATATAGTGATTATGTTAGATGATATTTCTGTGAGCTTTGCCCTTGTGGCCATTTCCTTGGAATTATTGGCACTATATTTCTTCTCTTTTTATTTATTTCAAGAAGTTTGAGGCATGTGTAAAGGAAATCTAACCACGTTACTAGCTCAGGGGGTGAACTCAATGGTTTGTTTGGTAGATTGAATGCTAATGCCAAATCATAAAATGACTCAGATGTCGATCAAGGCAATTAGAGAATTCGATCAAAACGCCTTGGCTAAAGACAGAGAGACAAGTTATCATTCCCCTCTCTGCATTTCGGTTGATGGCTCTTTATCCATGACTAAAGAAATCGTTTAATGTTCTATATGAATTTTAATATTAATTTCTTCCTTTGAAGAAACACCCACACTACATAAATATACTCACATCTTTCTGTTTTATTCTGATGAAGTCATGAGCAAGAACACAATATCAATGAGATCAGAGAACTACTCATAATTGCAAACCTTGAGATCTCGTGAAGTTGCCCAATTTTGCAATAAAAGCTCAAAGGCAGAATTTAGAAATGACCTGCACTTAATCCCACTAGTTTCAGGAAGAAAGGAAAACAATAGGTATATAATATGAAGCCAACGGCCAGCAAACTAGTGTCTCACGTGACATCACTATCAAGAATCGATGAAAGAGGGAACTCCACACTATACTGCCAACAGGCTTGACACCAACACTTGAACGCTGAAAGAAGTAACATAAATAAAACTGTAAGTTAAACTAGAAATAAGAGATATATGAACATGAAAGAATTAAAAGTTGACTGAATCACTGAAAATTATAGAAACAAGTACTAAAAGGCCAATATCCTATCAATCTGTCATTCTAATTTGAGCAAATAAAATATGGAGCACTGACAAGCTACCAAATCCCAACTGCATTGTTACCACAGTATGTTTAGCTTCAACCTACACCCCATTTGCTTTGTACATAATAATGCATTTCTAAACTCTCTAAAGACTAAACCACAGCAATCATACACAATTAACAGGGCATTGATGCTGACTGCCTTACATAAAGCACTAAATGACAATATAATGTAAAAAACGGTGTCAGACAGCAATTTGTATATAATTAAGTTCTTTTCACGCACCATTTGCAAAAATAGGCCGATGCTGATCTCTAACATTCCCCAAAATGGGAAGAACTCGAGAAAGCACTCCTTTAAGTCTTGGGGTAAACTGCAAGGCTTCAATTAAATTTTCATCGCACCAAAAGATATTCAGTTTCAGCACTCACATTACAATCACCTAAAAAAAACTTGCTAGGTGCCAGATAGTTGGACAGAAGACTAACCATCAGAAGTAGCAAAGTCTGCAAGTATTTGGACCATAGCAGGCAGAGCCGAACTCTGTGCAGACAAGTGAATAAATAGTTCTTCCATCATCTGCAAAGTAAATCAGAGAATTGAAATTTTAAGCATTCATTTCTGGACAAAGAGAAACGAAGAAATAACGATATTCTCGTTGACCGTTTCCCTCTACTCCTCTCTCTCTCACACACAAGGTCAACAACATGCTACCTGATTACACCTTTATTTAACTTCTTTAGTTTTGTTTAAGGAAAGAGGGTTAAAGTCCCAGAATCTACCTGTTTTGTAAATTATTATGTCATACCAAGAAGCTAAACCATTATACAGAACTTCAATGTTAGAACTTAGAATTTGTATATTTGGCATTCAACATGTCATATTGTTATCCACTCTTTCAGACATTTGATGGTTGCAATACAATTTGCAGTCCTATAATTAATGTACGTTTAAATTCTCCTGATTATGGTTGTATTTAAGATTTTCATCCGAATAGCTGTTATCCGCTATTCATCCATTTGACAATTATATTGATCAGGGTCTCTAAAGACTAAAAGGCATGAATGCACTCATAGCACTTCTTTACATTCAAGTAAGCAAGGCGCATTTGAGTCGAACAATGCTTAAGTTTTGGTTTAGGTCTAGGTTTTGGCTCTCACCCAATTTCAGACTGTTCGGCGACCATAGACCTAGTTTACACTAGTCTAAAGATTCTGAGTAGATGAGCATTCCCATCACCCAATGGAAAATGAAACAATTTTAGGCACTAGTTTGACGGAAGTGTTTGACAAACGTCTAAGACACCCTTGAATAAGCACATAATAGGGGAATCATGTGGACCAAAATCAATAGCATCAATGATTTGTGATGATGGAGAAATGGGCAAATGGGTAATGTTAACTTGAAACTTCCCAAAACGGAACATTGTAATTCTCAGGAGACATCCACAATGGAAACTTTGTAAATTGCAATTTGTACCTAATAGAATGGTGTTGAAATAAGAAAGCGCTTGATTGGCTTACAATGAAAACTAGAAGAAATCTAACAATTGCAACCGCAACTATTATCCTTGTCCAGGGAACAATCTACTACTCCAAATCAAAATTCCAAACATAATTATACTTCCTAGCTTTGCCCCCCTCAAGGTGAAAATCCTCCATGATTGACTTCAATTGGATATGAAGATAAACCAATCATAGGGAACAAAAGAAAATCCAACATACTAATAAAAGAAGAAACTCCAACACTCCCCTAGCCAACTGACATAGCCGACTGACAGCTGAAAACCAATCGATTTCTAATTTAGAAACAAACTCCCATCGTCTCAATCTGTGAAGTGGTATCATAAACAATAGAGAAGGGTACCTTTATGTGAGGTGACAGTCTCATCCAACACACTTGACCAAAAACCAAAGAATATCATAGACTGAAAACAACAGGAAGACACTAAACATCTCACAGTACCGTAAAGTGCAACAAGGGTCATTCCTTATCTATCCAAATACCCCACATTGACATATACAAACATCACTTCTCCTTCGTTCAAATGAAAGGAAAAGACACACTCCAACAAAAAAAACACAACATGACACCACATATATCCCTCAGTCAGTCAAACTGAAAACAACCCAAAAATTCAATCGAGGATAGAAACCAACTTGGACATGCACCAAGAATCATAATAATATTAAAGGTTTCCGGGTGATGCGGAAGTGCTAGAACAACGCTTGGATGTGATCACTAGACTATACCTTAAAAAGATAGATGGGGACTCATGGAGCTACTGCAGGACAAAAAAAAGCCCAAATTTTAGACTCAGATGTGCTTTTTCCTGGCTCCTAAAAGTACTTATATGAAAGCCATAAACAGTACACAAAATGCAGTTCCAAACCGGCGAATGAAAATTATAATCAAAATGCAGAAACAAAAATAAAATCCAATTTCTGAACAATAATGTACCCTAACTTATAGCACAAATCAAACTTTTACAACTAGTTTCTGAATATTGACTCAAACCAGCCGCCGCTATGAAGCAACTTATACAATTACAAAGAAGGTAAAAGGATCATCGAGTTCTGATCCCATTCACTGGAACTAAACAGATCAACAACTAACAGAGTAACTGATACAGGAGCATAAGTATCCAGACCCATATTATGTGTCATGCTTACCTTGAGCCTGATTTAGATTCTCACGCTATATATGGGTTCAAAAAGAACATAATTTTCTCGCAGCCCAACGAAATATGATCCGGGCCATAATAAGTCCAAAGTATAAGCCCATGAAGAACCTTTATTGACCCATTTATTGAGTCTTTATCGTAATTAGTTCCATTAATGCTTCTTTAATGTTTCTCTTTATTACGTTCCAACCTTAGATTTTTACTTGGTAGGTGGATCTTTGCTTTAACTTTCCATCCTAGATAATGACTCCCAAGTTGTACTACATGGGTCTTGGCTTGTGGAGCTAGTTTCAGTGTTCTACACACAAAAGGAGTCAGCTCCTGTTTACTGTTAGTATGGTGTTGTTGCTTTATCACTAATAGTTTTCAACTTTCGCCAATTTGATTGATCTTGGTGGTGTTTAATTACTTTATCCTCCAATCAATCAGATTGTTACGTATCATACGCATCAGTAACAGCTACAGTTGAATTCCATAACAAGCTTGCATCTTAACTTTATGACAACTCATAATCTAGACCACGACATTGAACATTTTGTTTAAAATTTGGTTTATACACAACAAAAATGTCATCATCCACGAATCCTATTTGCTTTTGCTGCTCAAAACCACAAAAAAAAGGTCTTCCAATTGTTTCCATTGAGTTTCCTTTTAAAAAAATACAACCATGTCAAATCATAATTTGGACTTCAAAAAACTTCCAATTTCACAAAATCTGAGTCATAGCCAACTCAGTTCTTCCATTAAAAGTTTGGTTTTTCGGTGTTGGTTAATGGAATACTGTAGATAACATCTCATATACCAATGTACATTACGCACAGATTAAGAAGTTTCACCCTTATCGATAAAAAGAGCATATGAACTTACCAGGTCTGGTAAATGAGAACCAATTGCAACAAGTAAAGACGAAGCAGCCCTTTGCCAATCTGCTTTTATTTCCTACAAGGCATATAAAAAGATAAATTGATATGCAGGAATCTGTGAGAGAAAAAACTAGCTAACATAACATAAAAAAGGCGGGTTCAATCTGATTGAGTCTGAAAGTCCATACTAGTTCGAGGGCTAGCTCAACTTGCAAAATAAACACTAGGCCCTCGGGCTCCTGCCCATAGGTTGTTAGTTCGATTCTCCTCAAGGCCACTAGTTTCCTAGCTGTTATCTTCAGGACCCCATAGGATTAGTAGAGGTGCATGCAACTGCAAGCTGACTGAGACACCCACGGTTAAGCAAAAAAAAACTTCCATACTACTTCAAAAAGACTGAGATGGGTGCTCGAAAACAAAACCACATGAGAACCCATAATACCCATGCAGTCTCAGCAGGAGAGACAACTTTTCTGAGAATATACATGAACTTTGTAAAAATACGAATCTGTATGGTAACTTGAAAACAATTTGCCACAGATTGAAAGCAAATAAAGTAGATGGAATTACAAGCACACGCTTACAAATCCATGGGTTCCCCACTGCTCATAACCAATTTAATCGGTTAAAATTCCTTAGTTTTACACACTAAAGTTTACAAGCAGTAACATGAGGCGAGGGAGGGACAAGATGTTTATTCTAAAACTGTTCCAGATGTCTAGTAGGAGGTAAGCAACCTCAGCAATATAATAGTTGGTAGGTATATAGCTAAAGGGAAAAAGCAGTCTTTCTTTATAGAAAAAACAACCCCTAAAGTAACATTGCAAGCAAACACGTCTATTAATCAGGTTCCTATCAACTTTTGCATTTCAAAATCTACTGTCAATGGTTTGCCTATTCACCTGAGGCATTGATGGAGAGGCTGTTGGGAAGTTATTGGCAGATCTGAGTTCTTGAGGGTGTCTAATTGGAGGGAGGGACATGCTAAGTGCAAAGATCTCCAAAAGTCCATATTCCATTCCACGTGCCTAGAAGAAGTAGTTAGTATCGCTAGCATAGGCTGCATGAGATCATCACTCTGGATGGCAAGATCAACGAGCTTGTATACTATCTTCCTCACTAATTCTAGGTTTGCTACACTACTTCCACTTGTTTCCTCTTTTACCTTGTAGTAAAAGCTAGATCAGGTTCCAAGTTGACTTTGCAATGACTTTCCTATATACTGCTAAACACCCGGGAGTATGTTTTCATAAAGATTGGAGATATATACATATGCATTAGTCCTCCCTACTTACCCACAGCCAAATGAAATGTTATACTACCAAAAATAGTAAATCTTGTCTTAACTAAATCCAAGGAATTAAGAACTGCCTTACCAACAGTTAATTTTGTGTTCTAGGGACTTCGTTGGAAAAGAACTTTTGATTATAGGGTATTCGCATGGACTTAGAAAAAGCTCTTGATATTTGTCTTGTAAATTTCTGATTTCCTGGATGGAGAATTTTTAGAATAATAAGCTAATTCCGGACTTGTGTTTGCATTTCATCTATAGGCGCTTAGAGAGATTTGGCAGTGATTTTTTCCATGTACTTACTATGCCATTCCATTTGTTTCCCAACATTTTAAAATCAAGAAACTCTACTTTACCATCAGATTCTCAGTCTCGCACTAAAACCAAGGCCCTACAACGTCCTTACAAAATGCCTACAGGAGGAACACACTACACTGCTTCTGCAACGTAATCTTGAGAATGCTATACTACCCAGAGGGTGGATCACGTTGTTTAAGCAACAAGCATAAATACAATGCAAGCTATGTAGTCTGAGTATGCTGGGCACTTGAGTGCCACTCATTATATAAAAGCGTTATGTTACTAACTTTGCTACTTAATTATAGAGAAACAATGCCAAAAAGATACAATCCATAACTTACCTTTGACGAAATGATCTCAGCAGTAGCAAGTTTGGCAAGCTTTGCCATATAAGAAGTGTCCACTTCCCCTTCTTCCAGGGCACCAATTGCAATCGACATTACTTGAAATACACCAGCAATATTCCCAAACCTCTGCCAATAATATGAAAAGAAGTTCAAACAGTCTTTGTCATTACGTGTGCAAGGTATGCAGTACTCCTTCCTTTCCACAACTAGAATCCACTTTGCAAAATTCGTTGGACTCATGAAAATATTCTATAGTGAGGGATAACCCGAGAAAATTATGTGTCACGTGAGTAATAGTGACGCTCATTTTGCTGCGAAAAATCACAGCCCTATTTTGAAAAGAAGGTAACACGCGAAATAGAACTCTTATCAGTGAATAACTTTTGAAATTACATTCGAATTGTGAAACGCAGAGAGTGTTATGTAATAAGAACATAAATACCCGACGGCCGCCTCGAGATACCGTTAAGCAGCAATCAAGAATTAGAAGTGGGTTCCTGCAATTAATTCCAATTTCGATTCACCAATTCAATTAAGAGTGATGGATAAATATACGTATACACATACACTTACAGAGGAGCGAGGGATTTAAGGGAGGCCATGGATGCTTGCTTAACCATTGGGGATTCATCAGCGAGCGATGAAACCAGAACCTGAATCGCCTCTGAGAATCGAAGATAAAAACATCAGATGAAAATCCAGATTTAGACGATCAAAAAGATCGAAGAATTAGGGAAGTACCAGGAGCAGGAAGGGAGTTTCCAGAACTTGATGCCATTACTGCATTGAATCAAAAAACCAAAGAAGAAGAAAAAGAAAAAGAAAAAGAAAATACAGAGAAATAGATCGCAAGAAGTGAGAAGGGGCAAACGAAGGACGAACACGATTATGATGACAGCGCGTGGTGTATAATTGCGAGGCGGCTAATTTTTTAATAATGCAAAATCAAATATAATTGTCTTGCATGAAATTAGGTGCCGAATGTTTAAGGAAAGTTTAAGATACAAAACCATTCAGAAGTTTTTAAAATCATTAAAAAATATATTTTTTTTTGTCAAATAATATTCACTTGTTAACGATTCAAATGTTGTCTCTTAATGTAATTATTAAAAGACAAACAATCAGCCGCTTAGAATATTACAATCAAAATGTATTTAACAAATTGTGTTTTTAATTTTATTGCCTCAATTTCTAATGTTTTATTTGTCATGGTATTGAGTATTTTTATAAGATTTTCAACCCCTTGGGGGTGTTTGGTTCATAAAATAGAATTTGATGGAATTGGAATCCATCATAGGAATTTGACTTTGAGGAAATTGGAATGAAAATTGATTAAACGTTTGGTTGGTCGAAATTGGAATGAAATCTCTCGAAATAATTGGAACAATCGTCTTTGTTTGGACCATCACACCCATCGCCCCCCGCCCACGCCCTACCAACCACAATGTCACTATTGTCAACCACAAGGGTGATGCCTGATTGGTTTGAGTTTGGCTCCAACTATCAAAAGTACCAGAATGTCCCAGGCACAAATCCAAAGAAGAATAAAAATCTCTTTGTGGCCATGGAGGTTCAAATGCAGTGACTCCGGGCTATCTGCAAAGCAGGTGGTCACCCTGTGATTAGTCAGCTCGCATGGCGGGTTGGATATCTAGGTTAATCCAAAAAATGTCATTACTGTCGTCGCCACAACTATCACCCCGCCTCACCCCTACCAAAACCTTGCCCCACCACTCTTTCCCCACCCCTGCTCCATAGGTGGGGGGTTGTAAAGGGCAGGCAAGGTGGGGTGAGACGGTGGGGGTGGGGCTAGAGTGCGGGCAGTGGGTGGGAGGGTGGTAGTTGTGACTACTACAGTGGTAGGATAAGGTGGGGTGGGACAGTAGGATGGGTAGGGGTTGGTGGCAAGGTGGTAGCTGTGACGATGATAGTGGTGGGATAGTGTTCGGGTGGCTGGGCCCTGAGAGTGGGTGGGTATGATGACAAAATAGTGGCATGGTGTTTAGTGGTGGGTTGGGTGCGAATGAGTGGCGGTTGTGAAAGCTACAATAGTGGTGTGGGGGTTAGGTTAGGTTAGGTTAGGGG